ATCCAGAAAAAAATACTCTTCACTATTCCCTGAAAATCTCCGATGATTTTCAAGATCGATTTTTGATTAGGGATTTATAAAATAAAGTGAAAGAGATGTTGAATAGATTGATGAATTGTGACAACCGTGCCGACAATCCTAAACCTCTTCTGACAACTAGTTTTAGTCTTTAAATAACAATCATGGCTTAGTGATCAACTGAAGAAATAACTATAAGCTGTTAAGTCAATTTAAGATTTATAAAATAAAGTGAAAGGGATTTTGAATAGATTGATGAATTGTGACAACCGTGCTGACAATCCTAAACCTCTTCTGACAACTAGTTTTAGTCTTTAAATAACAATCATGACTTAGTGATCAACTGGAGAAATAATTGTAAGCTGTTAAGTTAATTTAAGATTTATAAAATAAAGTGAAAGGGATTTTGAATAGATTGATGAAAAACAACCGGGCCGACAATCCTAAACCTCTTCTTATGACTAGTTTTAGTCTTTAAATAACAATCATGGTTTAGTGATCAACTGGAGAAATAACTGTAAGCTGTTAAGTCAATTCAAGATCATTTCTTCTCACTAACAAATTCTTGAAAGAATGAAAAACGGGTAATCTCATTTCAATATGATTGCTGTTTAAAACTTAATTTTGAGTTACTCCAGTTGATCAACTAAACTTACTTATTCAAGATCGTAAAGTGATTAGATGGGAAAAGCTGTTGTGCGGTGAAGATGAAAGAGGGGAAAAGAGTGAAAGATGATGTTCAGTATCAGTGAAGAGAGTCATAAATCAAGAAACACCGGGGTGCGAGCTGCAGGTGCAGGCGCTCTTCCTTTCAAGTGGCTCCTATCAACCACCGTGACAGGTGACCCAATCATTATTCCTCATTTCATTTTCTCTTCAAAAAGAAGTTTCTCTACCAATACAGGATGCATTTATAGAGCTTTAAAGTGCTTAATGCCAAGCTTCAATAAAGTTTAACTTCAATACTTCAACAAGAAAGAAACTTTGTCTTTAAACTTTGTCGTTAAACTTTGTCGTTAAACTTTGTCGTTAAACTTTGTCTTTAAATCTTTTCATCTTTCAATCTTTCAATCCCAAATGAAATGAATAAGATAGCAATCATTTTTTCGGGATACGTTGTAAATATTTGTGTTCCTCACACGTTCTTGCAAGAGTAGAGAACTCGTAAAAAGACTGATAAGCACTCGACGAGAAATTCGATCAAATTACTCACATGAATCAGGTTTTTTGGAGATTCAGGTAAGAGAAGTACATCCCAATTATATAACTTGATATCTTTTTAAGCTCTTTACAAATTCTAAATGATTTGTAAGTGTCACTGTGTAAGCATAGTGAAGCAATAAACTCAACTGGTCGCAAAAATTTATGTTCTTCGAGAGAGAGAGAGAGAGAGAGAGTTTACGAAAAAGAGTTGTTGCCATCTTTTTCATCTCTTCATCACTTCTACAGTTGTTTTATCGTTATTCCGATCGAGCTTCTCGAGGGAAATTTTTACGATTTGATGGGCGCTACCAAAAGCGAAAATCTGACACCCCATTGTAAAGGCATAAAATTTCCAAAACTGAGTGAAAAGACATGATAGCATTTCTCAAAAGGCTCACAAAACACAAAATAAATGAGGGATTTCTTTTTAAAAGATCTATATAATAAGATAACTTTCTTAACTCTAGCTCTAGCTCTAACTCTAGCTCTAACTCTAGCTCTAACTCTAGCTCTAACTCTAGCTCTAACTCTAGCTCTAACTCTAACTCTAACTCTAGCTCTAACTCTAACTCTAACTAATCTTTTTTAATCTTGTTGATTCCCAAAAATCTTTAACCATTCAAAATCATTGTTTCTAAAAGGAAGATAATGTTTGTATTCGGTCTCCATTTTGTTATCAAAGAGCTTGCGCGAGTTTTCTGTTATCAAAGAGCTTTCTCAAGGCTATCAGTAAGCGGAAGCGATCAGAGCCATTCGGGGCATCAAAAGAAATGACGCTTCCCATAAAATAGGTTAATCCAAAAGACATACAAGATATACGAGTGACAAATACACATCGACTTTCGCCCAAAGGATAGTTGGATCGTTGCGCAAGAAGATCCCTTTTCCTCTCACGCATTCAAAGGCGGCAGTGGTTGAAGTGGATTTGGCAAATAAGTATAAGCATAACATTGGATTTAGATCTCAAATATGTCAAGGGTGTTAAAGGTGACACGTTTCAAAAGTTTGAGTTACGGAAGTTGTTTTTTCAATCGAGAAAATGATTTAAAGTTATCAGATTTCAATCATAATATAATCATAATCAATTTAAAGGCAGAATTTAAGATTTATTTCTGAAGAAGCTATAGTGCTAAGAAGCTAAACTACAAAATGATCGATCCACCATGTTTTTTTGCCCCAAAAACTAGGAATTTTGAATAAAAGTGCAACTTTTAACCAAAAACAAGTTCAGAAATTAGTTTTAAGTCAAAGTTTGCATCAAAATGTTATTGAATCGGGAAATACTTATAGAAATGTTTATATGATTTCCCCCATTTCTCCCGCGTAACAAAATGATAGATCCACCTTGATTTAATAGCTTTATTTTAGAATTTTAACTAATAAACTTCAATAAAAAAACCTGCAGCAAAAGATAACGTTAGTATTTAATAGATTTTTAATCATAATCAATTTAAAGGCAAAAAAAAAAATTGATAGCTCTACCTTGATTGGTAAATTTAAGAAATTAGTTCTGAAGAAGCTATAGTGCTAAGAAGCTAAGCTACAAAATGATGTCACCTTTAACACCCTTGACATATTTGTGATCTAAATCCAATGATGGATCCACCATGTTTTTTCCCCAAAATCTAGGAATTTTGAATAAAATGCAACTTTTAACCCAAAAGCGTTCAAAATTTCGTTTTAAGTCAAAATTTGTATCAAAATTTTATGTGAGGATTTGCGCTTAAAGAAATGCTTACCGTAAATACTGTAATAGTACCGCACCCCCATAGTGCGGTGCGGGGGTTCTGCTTTGAACGCGTTTTTCTCGACACTGGTTCATGCTACAATGCGCTTTAGGTATCAAAAATAGCCCTGAATTTCAGCTATTTTTGATACCAAAGCGCATTTTTGAATAAGGCCTGCTTTGAAAAACACGGAAATGCACTAAAAATTTTGCGATAACGTTCCGGGGGGGGGGGCAAAGTATTTACGGTATATGATTTTTCGCCATTTCTCCCGCGTAACAAAATGATAGGTCCACATTGAATCCGAACATTTTTGACCGAGCTACAAGCGTGTGAAGCCAGCATACCCAGAAAGTCACCTTTTAACACAGTAAAAAACTAAATTTTTGTCTCCTGAAATTTAAAACGCTGTAACTCGGTCAAAAATGCTCGGATTAGCCCAGATAAGGTACCGAAATGATCCTTGAACTCTTTTCTACAACTTTCAATCAGAAATTCTTGACGAAAATTTGTTTGAGTGGGCTAAACATCGGTCAGAAGGTGTCCAAATCGGTTTTCTCATCCCAAAATTGAGAATTCGACAACGTCTCTGTCGCGATAGATTATTTTTCCAGACGCTTTTTATGAATAAAAAAGAATTACACAAGATAATGGTAGAAGACCGACTCAGACTTTTGTAATCGAATCTGGAATCGAATTGGAAGAGTTCAGATTGATGCGCTCGTCGAAGCAATGCCAAAGCAAATGAATATGCTTATCAAAAATGGCGAAAAATCTATTAAATACTAACGTTATCTTTTGTTGGAGTTTATTAGATAAAATTCTAACATAAAGCTATTAAATCAAGGTGGACCTATCATTTTGTTACGCGGGAGAAATGGGGAAAATCAAATACCGTAAATACTGTAATTGTACCCCACCCCCCCACGTACAGTCGCGTAGTCGCAAAAGTTTTTTAGTATTTCATTTTTTTCAAAGCGCCCGTACTTTCAAAAAATGCGTCTTTGGTATCAAAGAATAGCTGAAATTCAGGGCTATTTTTTGATACCTAAGCGAACATCGTAGCATAAACCAGTGTCGAGAAAAACGCGTTCAAAGCTAGACTACGCAACACTCCGCACCGTCACTATGGGGGTGCGGTACTATTACAGTATTTACGGTAAGCATTTCTTTAAGCGCAATATCTTCTATCACATAAAATTTTGATACAAATTTTGACTTAAAACGAAATTTTGAACTTGCTTTTGGGTTAAAAGTTGCATTTTTATTCAAAATTCCTAGATTTTGGGGCAAAAAAAACATGGTGGATCTATCATTGGATTTAGATCTCAAATATGTCAAGGGTGTTAAAGGTGACATCATTTTGTAGCTTAGCTTCTTAGCACTATAGCTTCTTCAGAACTAATTTCTTAAATTTACCAATCAAGGTAGAGCTATCAATTTTTTTTTTTGCCTTTAAATTGATTATGATTTTTTAATCACTTTCTGGACTTTCTGGGTGACTGACTTTCTGGGTATGCTGGCTTCACACGCTTGTAGCTCGGTCAAAAATGTTCGGATTCAATGTGGACCTATCATTTTGTTACGCGGGAGAAATGGCGAAAAATCTATTAAATACTAACGTTATCTATTGTTGCAGCTTTTTTTATTGGAGTTTTATTAGTTAAAATTCTAAAATAAAGCTATTAAATCAAGGTTGACCTATCATTTTGTTACGCGGGAGAAATGGGGGAAATCAGTAAATATTACAATATTTACGGTAAGCATTTTTTTAAGCGCAATATATTTCGATCACATAACATTTTGATGCAAACTTTGACTTAAAACTAAATTTGCAACTTGTTTTTGGTTAAAAGTTGCATTTTTATTCAAAATTCCGTTTTTGTATTCGTTTTTGTTACGCACTGTATTTTTGTTATTTACAAGATTTCTTCTGTAAAATCTTCAAGCATTTGAAACAAAAAAACATTTGAAACAAGTTTTATTAGCCTTTTTCTTTAAGTTTTTTTAGATTTTTAGCTTTTGAACTTTTAAAAACATAAAATTTCCTTAAAATCTTAAAATAAAATTTTGTTTGTCACTCGTAAAGAAACGTTTTGGTTTCGATGTTCCACGAATCATTTGTGACTTTCGCGATAGAATTGCTCGAATCTAAACTCTTTAAAGTTTTTTTAGCTTTCTTTTCTTTTTCAAACCCGTATCCAATATTTCGAGTTTTTCTGTAACAATGAACCATTGATTACAATTGAAATCTAAAATTATAGACTGAAACAGAGTAAATATCCTGTTTCACTTTATGACTTGACGTATCGATAATCTTTCGTTGTTGATTTGAATGGAAACTCGTCCATCTCGCATTCAAAGCGTCCTCACCGCGCGAAAGATCGACTCGATATTCCTATAGAATTTCTAATAATAATAATAATAAAAATAATAATAATAATAATAATAATGATTTGATCTGTCTTCGCACTTAGCGCAGATCACAACCGGCTTCCACATTTACTGAGGCAGAAGTGTAGTTGTCGTAGCCGATGATACTCCGATGGCCGGGCTGGGGCGCTCGGAGGGGAGCCCATGGGAGTCGAACCCACGACTAACCCGCGCCGACGTTGCTCAACTTGGCAGATCGGACGGGGTCGACCACAGACCCTTTCCTTTCTGGGCCCCATAATAATAATAATAATAATAATAATAATAATAAATAATAATACCCTAAAGTCTCGAGTATAAGTTCTGCCTTAATTTACATTCGCTTTAATTGCTTTGAATTTCTTTTTGTTGGGTTTTTTGGAGCTCGGGATACTACAGGGTGACAGCTCTTGGTGACAGCTCAGTTCTTGGAGCTCGGGATACTACAGGGTGACAGCCTATCACCATTGCTATTTGTTATGTGCATGGATACATCCAGACGATAGTGTTGAAGAAGACGCTGGAAAGCATCTCTTTCGACCGTCGACGTGGACTTTGGCCGGATGAAGAGGCCAGGGAGGGATCCATAAGACTGGGCACCGGAGAGGAGCAGGGCGGACGCGCCGAGCCACGCCCGGAGCAACAAATAACAGCACAAAATTGCTATAACCCTCAATAAATTTACTTCTATTATTGTTCTTAAAAAGCAAAAAAGTTATGCTGCAGCGGGGTTCGAACCCTCGACACACCGCACCGGAGACAGCCGACAATTTGCATGCGAAAACCAAACAGAACTTATACTCGCGACTTTAGGGTAATAATAATAATAATAAATAATAATAATAATCAATACCTCAATGATTTTCGAATGATCATTGGGATCTCTGACAGCTGTGAAATTGACTGTTATCGTGTTTTCGTCATCAATTTCCACTGAAACATCCGTCGGAATGGGAAGCTCTAGAGGTTTTAAGATAATAGAAAAAAAAAGCAGTTTTCTTGTGTTTCCATGTATTGCTTCTTTTAATCAAAACCAACCATTATAAGCGGTTTCAAATTCAACAATCTTGCTTCCTGGCCCAATTGCGTGTGAGTTCTTCGCCGCCACTCGTACTCGATATACTGCTTTTGGATTGAAACCAGCCTTAAGAACAGTTTTTCAAGCATTTTACTTCTTTTTTAAAACTTGAGAATCTAATTTATAGCTGGTCACATTGCCGTCCACTTCAATTGAATGCCATTCTCTGAATGATTTAGATCAAGAATCCCACAGAATTTAGATCAAGAATCCCATTGAACTCACTCGTATTGAGCGTTTGCCGTAGCGGGATCTCTTGTATAGAAGATTTGGTAATTCTAGATTATAAAATATTCTGTAATTTAAAGCTTTAAAACTTCAATTGGCATAAGAGTTGCAGGTTTGGACCAGGTGAGGATGGCGATGTTGGCCTCGTTCAATGCAACGCGCGGGTTCTCGGGTGCTCTTTCTGGCCCTTAAAGGAGAACAAATTAGACGGATTCTCACTGAAACAAAATTATCAGCAAGCAGTAATTTCGGTACTTGTCAGTTATACATCCACAAAGAGTCATCTCGGTTATCGATTTTCGTTTGACAGATCTACTGATGACTTTAGGCGAGCACTCTACTTCACTGAAAATAATCACCGCTCACAAGTTGTCAGCTCTTTGCTTAACTGCCAGCTCTTTGCTTAACTGCCAGCTCTTTGCTTTGCTTAAAGTTGAGTCTCTGTGGATGTTTAACAGACAAGTACCGTAATTTCAATAAAATGAATAGCTCCAATGATTCCCCAATCCCGACAGCCAATTTTACATTCTGTTAAAGAAAGATGATTGAGAAGAAATGAGAACCAATCCAAATTCGCATCTTTACTTTAAAGTGAAACTATTTCGACTTTAGAATTGATTTCAACTTATCTTTACATATACCGTATTTTCTCTAATAGTAGTGCACCCCGGCAAGCCGAGTTGGTGACGATTTTACGGTTTCCAAGCTTTTGCAGAAGCTCAACACTCAAATCTCCTACTAGATCTCATCGTCAGCTACATTTTCCGACCCCACATCGATAGGTTCTGATAAGCGGTTCTCGAGATTTCGAGGAATTTAGGCGAAGCTTTGGGTGCACTACTATTAGGGGTACACTAAAACAGGTTCTGATAAGCGGCTCTCGAGATTTGGTGAAGCTTTGGGTGCGCTACTATTAGAGAAAATACGGTATTCATTTCAATATTCTTAAGATTTCTACCTCCATTATGCATTCGAAAAGAGATTTTCGAGGAGAGTTGCCCATGTCCGATTGCATTCATTGCTCTTATCCCCAAAAAATACTCGGTCGAGAACTCAAGTTGATCAATAGGGATCTCGAAAGAGAGTTTTGCAATGTAAAATCTGAAAGGTTAATGTTTTTATGCTTTCAAGCTTTCAAGACTAACCGGTTTATTGATACATCAAAAATTAGACAATCCTCAGACAAAGACTCTTCGAAACAAATGAAAACTTGATAACCCTAAAGGATTTTTTGGAAAGAATTTTGTAATTGTTGTAAGGAATTGTGTAATTGTTTATTACGAATAGAAGACCGGTCTTCTATTTTTTCAATCACTCCCAAGATCACTCCCAATCAATTACCCAATTTCAATCACTCCCAATGAATCACCCCGTCTTCTATTCGAGGCCGGTCTTCTATTCGAGTAAATACGGTATATAAACCTACAGTGATGAAACGATTTGTGAAAATTGGTGGATCCCAAGTTAACAATAATTTGATGATTTGATGGTTGATGATTTGAAGATTTCGAGGAGGCCCACTTGGTTCTAAATGAATTCTTTAGAAAAGAATTTGTAAACTAATTTCTAAACTGAACGTTAATCAACAATAAGTTTTCAAGAATCCAAGAGAATTCCAAGAATTTAACGTAAAATCTCAACTTTTAAAGCTTTTCTGTTGGTTATTTTTGAAGATAGAAAAATTAGAATTTGAACATTACTCCCCAAGCAGTTTGGGCTTAAATTTTTGCTTAAAAAGATTAAAAAGATTTGTTTAAAGTTTAGAAAATGAATAAATATATATTAAAGAATGGAAAGAGAATGACCAGCATTCACTAAAATTCATGAAGTTGAAGAAAAACAAGTGAAACAGATGGATTTTTGCGATTTTGGCTCAAGCAAATAAAGCTTTTTGAAAGTTTTCTTTTGTGATGTAGGTAAATAGAAATAGAAATAGAAATAGAAATTTATTGTCCAGTTTTATCTAAGTGATCACTTCCTTGTTGAGCTGCTGGGATTGCGTCAGAGATGAGTCCAGGACCCGATGATGAGATGGCTTGAAGACGAATGAAGAGGTCACCACCGTCGGCGTTGATCTGAAATGGTTTTGAGTTGATTTGAATAGCTTTGAATAGCTTTGAATAGATTTGAATAGATTTGGATAGCTTTGAATAGATTTGAATAGATTTGGATAGATTTGAATAGATTTGAATAGATTTGAATAGCTTTCAATAGCTTTCAATAGCTTTCAATAGCTTTGAATAGATTTGGATAGCTTTCAATAGCTTTCAATAGCTTTCAATAGCTTTCAATAGCTTTGAATAGATTTGAATAGCTTTGGATAGCTTTGAATAGATTTGAATAGATTTGAATAGCTTTCAATAGCTTTGAATGACTAATTTGAGTAGTTTTATTGGTTTAAAGCAAACCCTTGTGGTGTTAGCCTCTGCACCGAAGTCGACTTTGCGCCAATCGCTAAGCGGTAGATCTTTGACAAGAGTATAGTACAAGACAAAGCCCTAAATCATGATCAATGTTTAACGGATTTTCAAATCAATTTCAAAATGACAAACTTTCAATTCGCCATTTGGATAGATTGGTGCTTGCCATTGAACATTGAACCAACTGAAATGGAGATTCAATGCAATGAAGATGCAATCTTTTTCTACCCATTTCCATCAGCGACAAGAGTGATCATGCTTGGCGGAGAGCCAGGTCCTCGAATATTGATCAATGCCGACGCTACACCGACTCCTCCTTCAGCTCCAATCGTCATACAAGAAACATTCTCGGAACGGATTCTGGAATGGGATTCTGGAATGAGATTTTGGAATCAGATTCTCGACTGAGATTCTGGAATAGGATTCTGGAATCAGATTCTGGAATGGGATTCTGGAATCAGATTCTCGACTGAGATTTTGGAACTCATTCCAGAATCTCAGTCCAGAATCTCAATTCTAGAATCAAAAAACTTGCGCACAGTCTTGAGTGCAGTAAATTTCTTTTAAAGCTAAAGTTAAGCTAAAGTTTGTTTTGCTTTTCTCATTTACCTGGCTTTTGCTGATATTGTGGACACTCCATCAACTTCACCAAGTACTGTATGCACTACATAAAAAGAATGATCAGCAGGGACTGGCTCGTCATTCACAAACCATGCTGAATATTGAATTTCTAAACTTTCGAGAAAGAAAATCAAACTGAAATTTGCTGGTGGTGGATTGTGAGCTCTGCACGAGAGAGAAAGGGGTTTGTTCGGGTCGGGATCCAACTCCAAAATTGGTGCCTCAACTATTCGAACGATTGGAGCAGCTACTGAAATGAGCTACTGAAAATTTAGCCTTTAAACTCATTTCCCGCTCACCTGGTGATGGAATCTGTATCGTGACAATGTTTGAGGTGAAATTTTTCAGAAACAATTTCAATTCATAAACACGACTTGGCGGGAGATCAAACTAAAATTTAGCTTTTTAGCTTTTTTAGCTTTTTGGCTTTTTAGCTTTTTAGCTTTTTAGCTTTTTAGCTTTTTAGCTTTTTAGCTTTTTAGGTTTTTAGCTTTTTGGCTTTTTAGCTTTTTAACCTTTCAGCTTGAAGTCACCGATTTTTACCGACAAACTTACAATAATTTGTTTTCCATTTATTGAAAATGAATTGATTAAAGTCCAATTCTCAGAAATTTCTTCTTTAAACGTCGAATTGAAAAGCGTTTCTTTGTAAAAGAGTGAGATCTGCTGTAAAGCTCAAATGTTAAACGCAAAATAACCAAAATTTTACCTCCGGTTGGCGAAAATTTGTGCTAAAATTCATGGCAATCGTTCCATTCTCGAGAATCGAGTGATTTGTGATTTGCAAATGAATATCTAAATGGTTTTCCTAGTAAACACGAGAAAATATACAAAACCAGGTGTTTGTGGCTCATTTGTGGCACCAATGACGACAATTGGGGAGACTTTCTGAGCCGCCTGATTCACAAAGCCGACCGCTTTCAACTGAATCGCAAACGAGTCAACGGAAAATGAGGCGATTGATGGATAACTGAAAATAATACAAGGTACAGCTTGCGGTACAAGATTCTCGTTCTAAGCTGGCTGGTTATAGCTCTGGTTATAGTTGTGTCATTTAAAATCAAAAATTCAAAAATTGATTGGCGCTGCTGTGGATCGAACCCGGCTATCGACAACCAGCCGTGCGGGCTGGAGACCATCGCGCTCCCGGCTGAGCCATGACAACGGCGTGGTGGGGCAACCATTAGGCTGCTTTTGATCTGTCTTTAATCCTTTCAAACCTGTATTGATTAAGTGAATATAAGCATCGTGGATATAATATAAGCAAAAATTGAAAAATTGAGTGGCACTGCTGGGGATCGAACCCAGCCATAGACAACCAGCCGTGCGGGCTGGAGACTATCGCGCTCCCAGCTGAGCCATGCCAACAACGTAGCGATCCAGCCGTTAGGCGGTCTTGACCTGTCTTTAATCTTTTCAAACCTGTATGGATCAAGTAAATATAAGCATTGTGGCTTCGATGAGAGATATTCTACGGAAAACCATTCCACTTCTTCTTTTCGAAACTCTGGCACTCGAGCGAAGAAAATTTTATAACCCTAAGAAGAGTTTTTGCTTGAAAAAGTTAAGCGAAATGTTTTCACATACCGTAATCGTCAAATTCTCCGCGTTTTCCCAATTTATCAATAGAGAAATTGTTCCATTTTCGTTTTTTTCCACATTCAATGTGAGAATTGAAGAGTTTTCTGCTAAAAAAAACGGGGAATTTAAGTAAATCAGAATCCGAAATCCGAACCTGAACTCAGAAAAATCAAAGAGAGAATGGAAAGCGCTATGAAGTGTTTTTCCATCCAAAGTTGATTTCTTGCATTAGTGAAAGTTGAAATCTTGATTTGTTGTGGCTAAAAGTGTAATGGAAATAGAATTAAGATAGAATTAAGAATAGAGAAGATAAAAATCAATATTAGACTCTTGTAGACTTTAAAAACTTTATAGAATTAAGAATAGAGAAGATAAAGGTCAATATTAGACTCTTGTAGACTCAATATTAGACTTTAAAAAACTTTATAGAAGAAAGAGATTGGTTGAAAGCTTGGAGAAATTCGAGAAATGAGTCATCGTTTATAAAATCTAGTGGCTTAGTCGCTCCATTCGCCTCTCTCCATTTCAATTTCATCAAATTTTCTAAACAATTCTCACGTGCCTTCCCCCCTTTTCTTTTCAATAATTTTTATTTTTCTCACAAATTTTATACATCAGGATAGTACACCGGATAAAGTATATTTATTCGACACGAATAATGAATTACAACACAACGGAGGAAACCTTTATCCCTAATTACCCCTATTACCCAAATGTTGTTAAGAAAAAACGCATAATAATGGGAAAAAGAAGCAATGTTTCTAGCCACCGGGATCGAACCCTTAACTAGGAGACTAGGAGACTAGGAGACAACACTCCTATCCAGTCGGCTACGACGGCTGGACAAGACTCCTATTCGGCCGGCTACGACGGCTGGACAAGACTCCTATCCGGTCGGCTACGACGGCTGGACAAGACTCCTATTCAGCCGGCTACGACGGCTGGACAAGACTCTTCCGGTCGGCTCGACGGCTGGACAAGACTCCTATTCAGCCGGCTACGACGGCTGGACAAGACTCCTATTCAGCCGGCTACGACGGCTGGACAAGACTCCTATTCAGCCGGCTACGACGGCTGGACAAGACTCCTATCCGGTCGGCTACGACGGCTGGACAAGACTCCTATTCAGCCGGCTACGACGGCTGGACAAGACTCCTATCCGGTCGGCTACGACGGCTGGACAAGACTCCTATTCAGCCGGCTACGACGGCTGGACAAGACTCCTATTCAACCGGCTACGACGGCTGGACAAGACTTCTATCCGGTTGGCTACGACGGCTAGACAAGACTCCTATCCAGTCGGCTACGACGGCGACCATTTCATCAAATTTCCTAAACAATTCTCACGTGCCTTTCCCCTTTTTCTTTTCTTTCCAATAATTTTTATTTTTCTCACAAATTTTATACATCAAAATAGTACACCGTATAAGAAGAAATGACAAAAAAAAAAGAAAAGTTTAAGAATTTGACAAAAACCGGCATTTTCACCTGAGCTAGTACACAAAGTTTTACAAAATAAAACTGAAAATGAAAATAAAACTGAAAACCAAAAACGACAATCATAACGATAATGGGGAAAAGTTTGAGAGAAATTTGCTTAAATGGAATTTGAATGCGTGGGTGTGAAGGGATAAAGCTTAGTCTTTCTTTCTTTTTTTTTCTTCAAAGTCGTCCACGCCTCTGCATCAAGGTTCGACCGAGAGCCATGAAATCCTTGAGCTTTGCCATGTTGAGTCTAGCTGCCATCCCTCTAGGTGGGCGGAATTCCAGGAGGACGTGTGTCTTTATCCATCACCGTTGGCTAAACTTCTCTTTCTTTTCTCTTTCTTCTCTCTCTTTTTAAATCTCTTTTCTTTTCCTTTTCTTCGAGATTTCAATTCCCACGCCCGCTTATCGAATCTATGGGCGATTCTTAGCTTTTTCTTCAGAAATTTCTATCTATTTCCTGTTTCTATTTTTCTGAAAATACTGGTCTTTGCAAAAGATCACCTTTGAAAAGAATGGAGCCGGTGGAGAGGGACCAAATCTACCTGAAATCTTTTTCTTTTGTCCAAAAAGAAATTTTGTTTAGTCTGCAAGGTCACTCATTTCATCAAAATCCCTATTTTTCCTGGATTTCTCTTTTTTTTTGCTGAGAAAAGGAGAGAAAGGAGATAAAAAAAGGAGAAAGCTCCGTTCGCGTCACTCCAATGTCAATGATTGAAGCTTGAAAGAATGATAGAGAAAAAGAAAAATCTCCTTTACTTTTCCGGAAAGTTAAACACTGATTTGACCTTGTGGATACGAGTTTTACGAGTCGTTAGCTAATTGAGCGAATCGAAAACCTTTAAAGTACCTGAAGAAACTCGGCGAGAAGATTGCCGCAAGAAAGTGGCTCTAAAAAAATTGGAGATATATGAAAAAAGAAAAACAAATTGATTAGGCATGATAGGGGAGACACTTTGTACCTTTAACGTTTGATACATTTCGTATGAAAAGAGTTTATCATCTTAAGATTTTCTAGAGAACAAGTACAGAGGACAAGCACAGAGAACAAGTACTTTTATTATCGTTTAGCAAATGATATTGGCTAAATAATTCTTTGTTAGCTTCTTCTCACAAAGCTTTCCTCCAGATTGAAGCTTTCCAAGGAGTCTACTCTATTTGAAAGAATCTAATCTTCTATGTAGTCTTCTATGTAGTCTTCTATATAATCTTCAATATAGTCTTCTATGTAGTCTTCTATTAGGTTGATGCAAAAGTCTTTTTCATTTTTTTCGTACTTCTTTTGAAAAATAACAAAGTCATCAATTAACCTATGGTTTGCTCTAAATGAAAAGTGTTTATTGTTCAATTTCCCATCTTTTTAAGTCAATTTGGGTTCACTTTCAAGCAAATTCGAGAGTGAAAACGGGTTTTTCATAAAAATCTATAAAAACCTCTATAAAGAAATTGGCTGAATCAATTTCTCTGAAAATCTGAAAAATATATCTAACTTTTTGTGCTCTATCTTTTATTTATTAACATCAAGATTGGTTTCCTTAGCTAAAGCGTCTAAAATGCATCATCGAGCCGTCGCCTTTTTTGACTACCCGACTTCAGGCTCTCAAAAAAATCTAGACATAAGACATTTTAAACTCGTTTTAATGTCATTTTGCAGAAAAATAATTGGCCTTTCGAATGCAATAAACCGTTGTTCAATTGGTGCATTTGTTACTTTTTAACGGAAGTACGAAAAAAATGAAAAAGACTTTTGCATCAACCTAATATATAGTCTTCTATATAGTCTTCTATGTAGTCTTCTATATAGTCTTCAATATAGTCTTCTATATAATCTTCTATATAATCTTCTATATAATCTTCTATATAATCTTCTATATAGTCTTCTATATAGTCTTCAATATAGTCTTCTATATAATCTTCTATATAATCTTCTATATAATCTTCTATATAATCTTCTATATAGTCTTCAATATAGTCTTCTATATAATCTTCTATATAATCTTCTATATAATCTTCTATATAATCTTCTATATAGTCTTCTATATAGTCTTCTATATAGTCTTCTATATAATCTTCTACATAATCTTCTATAGAAATTGAAAGTCTTAATTTGAAAAACAACCTTCTATTTGGAGTCCGATTAATCGGCAACACGACTCCAATGAAGAGGCAAAGCATGAACATCGCGAAGAGCCACCGCATTCCAAATGTTTTCCTCAAAGTTTTATAGATACTTTGACTTTATTAATGATAAATAAGTATTAAAGATATGTAAGTTAAAGAAAAGAAAAGTTAAAGAAAAGTTTCCATCAAATAATGTCAAAGAAACAGTTAACTTTCTAGTGAAACAAATAATGAATTTGTAGAGAAAGCAATTATATAGGCGGTCACACGGTAAAGCCGAGAAATCGGACTGAGCAAGATTGTTTTCAATAAAAAAAAAAAGAGAAGGGGACACTCAAGTAATATTTTGGTTGAGTGGAAGGGGTGGATCGGATCGTGGATCGGATTGAAAGAGTTGAGAAAGATGATCAAGAGGAGCAAAGCTTGCCACTTGTGTCCACCAACTTTTCCCCCTTTCTCTCGCACAAATCTTGCATGTACCTGTAAAAAAAAACATGGTTGGGGTGAAAGCCAGGATGAAGATGGGGATTGAAATGAGATCGAGAGCACAGGGATACTGACCATCTCCCACCTTTTTGCGTGAGTTTTCTCTCTCTCTCATCCTTGAATGGTCACTCTCTTTTTAACTCGAAACGAACACTTTTTTTTTCTTTTTCTTTTTCCTTTTCTTTACTTAGTTGTCCGGATTTTCTTCTTCAGTTTTCTCTTCTTACGTTTGTTATATCAAATCTCTTATGCAAAGCTTTCAAGAGAAGATAAGAGCATCTGTCAGAGCCAGAAGATGCCAGAGATGATTTTACGAGCTATCAAGAAAAGTAAAAAGAAATTTGATCAACTCATTTCTAGAGTTTTTCTCTTTAGACTATCATTAAATCGTAAATTTGTATTTAAAAATATCTGAGATGTCATTAGTTTCCTTTTCTTTACTTAGTTGTCCGGATTTTCTTCTTCAGTTTTCTCTTCTTATGTTTGTTATATCAAATCTCTTATGCAAAGCTTTCAAGAGAAGATGAGAGCATCTGTCAGAGCCAGAAGATGCCAGAGATGATTTTATGAGCTATCAAGAAAAGAAAAAAGAAATTTGATCAACTCATTTCTAGAGTTTTTCTCTTTAGATCAAAATGACTATCATTAAATTCTAAATTTGTATCTAAAAATATCTGAGATTTCATTAGTTTAGTATTTTCTTTTCCGAGATTTCCGAGATCTTTATCGTTGTCCTTTTCTCTCGTTTCTTCGTCCATTTTTCTTTCCAAAATTGGAGTGAAATTTCAGGAAAATCTATCTATCTTTTGTTGAGTAGGCAAGTATCGAAAATCACACGAAAAATCTACAAGATTTCGAGAGATTTTCGTAAGAGTAAACTGTTTCAGTTTTATCATGTTCTACAGAGTGTCCAAAAAGTCATTGCAACAACTATTAGTGCTTATTATTTCTCTCACATTGCTCCAATTGAAACAATTTTTTTATCAATCGACAGAAGAAGAAATGACAAATCTAATGATACCAAAACTATTTCAATCGGACAACTGAGTGCTGAGATATTTGAGTTTAAAGTTCGCTTGTCAATGAAGGAATGTCAATAAAGTCAATGTCAATGTCAATGAAGGCTGAAATCAAACGTTAGCCTTTCTGAAACGATTAAATAAATGTGTGAAGTCCAGTTGGGGTAAATTTAAAGCATAAAATTTATTAATATATTGCTTAATATTTTGGGTAATAAGCTTATTAATTTACTTAATTTTAATGCACAAAATTGTTACCTCAAAATTTGATTGCAATAATTTTTCGACTGTGATTCTAGACTGTCAGACTGTGATTATAGACTGTGAGACTGTGATTCTAGACTCTCAGACTGTGATTCTAGACTGTCAGACTGTCTTCGGACAAGCTGTGTCTAGCCAGAGAGCTTTAATGATCGTGGAGCTTTAAAACATTTGAACTTTATTTTGGAAAAAAAAGAGAAACACTAGAGAAACCCTGAGTTTTCCTTTGTGGATGAGGGTTTTGAAGGAATAATTTGAGAAACGAAAAGCGAAAAGGAAAGAGATCCAAAAGCCACATCAACACGGATGCCGACACCATTCGACTTTGCGCTTTCGACTGTTCCGCATCAAACCAAGCTGTAAAGTTTTGATTAAGCGATTGAAAATTCAATTCTAGTAATCCAATTCTAGTAATTCAATTCTAGTAATCCAATTCTAGTAATCCAACTCTAGTAATTCAATTCTAGTAATCCAATTCTAGTAATCCAATTCTAGTAGTCCAATTCTAATAATCCAATTCTAGTAATTCAATTCTAATAATCCAATTCTAGTAATCCAATTCTAGTAATCCAACTCTAGTAATTCAATTCTAATAATCCAATTCTAGTAATTCTAGTTCAATTTCGATTCTTTCACCTGACAAGAGTCGAAAACTTTGCAGCAAACGTTGACCGGACATTTCAATTTTTTGATGGCACTTTTCAACTTCTCCATATTCATTGAATCTAAATCAACTGTTTATTGTAATATTGCAAAGCTTTAATAACTTTTTCTGTTTTTTTTCAAACGATGGCTAGTTGTGGTGAGTGGTTGAGTGGTGGTGCGCGCGTAGCCCCCACGATCCATTACCGTGAACGGTTCGAGCTCTTCTAGGCCACCTGTTTCTGTAAAATCTTAAGTAAAGTGTTTTAGTGTATCCCTTAATAGTGGTGCACCCAGAGCGTTGCCTAAATTCTTCGAAATCTCGAGAACCACTTATCAGAACCTATCGATGTGGGGTCGGAAAATGTAGCTAACGATGAGATCTTGTGGGGGATTAGAGAGTTGTGCTTCTGTGAGAGCTTTGAAACCGTAAAATAGTCAAAAACTCAGCTTGGCCGGGTGCACTAGAGAAAATACGGTGTTGTTTTTGAATGTCTGATTTTGAAATGATTCAAATCAAATACCAAGAGCTCCAGTAGTTGAGCAAGGTCGTGACTCGAGGCCACACGGCAACGACTTGTCAGCGCAATCACGTCGTCTGCAATGTTTATCAGTTATTATATTAAAATTTCTCTCAAATTCGAGTTCTGGTTTATTTGAAGACGTCATTTTTCCATTCTGTTACCTATGCTGCACTCCATCCGCACATTCACTCCATTCAGTGGCCGTCTCCTCGGCGGTTACCAGCTTCTCGCTTTTTGTTGGATCATCTATATAAATTGTTAATAGAATTGTAAAATCTTACTTAAAAATAGCTATTTGTTCTTTGCTAAATTGTCCTCAAAGTTCAATTCAAAAGTTCACCTCTTTTTGCTGTTTTTAAACCGAAAGCCCGTGGCCTTGTTGGTCTTTTCTGACATCCCACTTCAAAATAGTCAACAATGTCTGTGTTCTCTTCAGCAAATAAATCAGCCTGAAAATGCAATTCAATTCTTGTTTGATAACTTATATCTTGAGTAAAATAAACTAATCTTAAGTGGGACATTTGAAAGAAGTTATCAAAGTTATCAAAGTTTACAAAGCTACCAAAGTTTACAAAGTTACCAAAGTTATCAAAGTTATCAAAGTTTACAAAGCTACCAAAGTTTACAAAGTTACCAAAGTTACCATAGTTATCAAAGTTATCAAAGTTATCATAGTTACCATAGTTACCAAAGTTTACCTGTGAATGGCGATCCTCTGTGTTCAGAATACAATTCAACTGATTTTCCTAAATATTCTTAAATTAATTAAGCTATTTTAAAAGTTTTGTTTAAAAAGAAAAATTCTTTCACAAAAATTAACCTCAAAATAATACATCCCACTGGTACAATTGAAACCGTAAAGTGTGAACGAGTTGAGGCAATTGTGGAAACACTCTTCGAACGATGGGGCATCAGTGACTGAAATTGGAAGCAAGTATACAAAACGAAACTTTACAAGGAGATAAAAGTGTAGCCAACGTATGAACAACTCTTTAAACAGAACAGAAATAGAAGGGCATTAACAGAAAGAGAAGGGCATTAACAGAAAGGCACAGGCCAACTATTAGGCTTAACTTTCTAATACTTTCTAATACTTTCTAATATCTAATGAAATCCAATAGGCCAATACCCGATTCCGCGAAGCCGACGAGTATCATTTGCGGGTATCTCGCGAAAACTTTCGGGCAACCTCTAGAAAGCTTTTGACTTTTATTTGAGCTTTTGAGCATTTTCAACTCACTCAGCCAATTCCTCATCAATGCAAATTTTTTCGTAATATTCCGATTTACGATTTTGTTTCAATTGACCAGTGCCAAGGGGAACAGCTGCCTAAAAGAAGCGTAAAAAAAACGAATCGTTTCAAATCCCGCTCTGCTCTTGTATTCTATTCATAATTATCATCAATCATCATCATCATTATCATAATTATCATCAAATTACAATCACCTCAACAGTCAATGAACAATGCCCTTCTGTATAATCAAAAGATTTACAATCCAGCGGTTGTTCATTAACCTAAATTTGAGTATAAGCAATGAGTTTTTCGATGGAATTGAGTTTGCCTCATTATTTGTGCAAGCGTCAACGCATTCATCAACACTCGAAACATCGATTGTCACATCATCGTTTTTATAAAGCTCAAAATCAGCTGTGCGAAGGAATCTATAAAAAATTAGAAATAATATTTCGTATTTAAGTTTACCGCGTCGTTTTCCCTTTAGCACAGGAGTCTCGAGAAATACTCCGCTGAATGGGTGAACTGTTCGGGGTTGGGGAAGAAAAGGCTGAAAAGTCTTCTGCTTCTGCTAAACTTTGTAAATGACAAACTATACAAGAACAAATCTTTAAGCTGTACAGGCTGTACAAGCTGTACAAGCAAGCTGTCAAGCCGTACAAGCAAGCTGTCAAGCTGTACAAGCAAGCTGTCAAGCCGTACAAGCAAGCTGTCAAGCTGTACAAGCTGTACAAGCTGTCCAAGCTGTACAACCCCAAATCAATATTTATCTTAGCTGGTACAGTAAAACTTGAGCTAATTCTGAAAGCTGAAAACATACGCGAGAGATCAGTTGTTGTAAAATCTTCATCCTCAAAAAAAGATCTCGCCGAATGGGACGATGGCTGAAAGGAGAATTTATCGCTTTCTCTTTCTGCAATCACCTCAGTATCAATTGATATATCATTTTCATTCGTGGTTGAGGTGACCGGGCCATAACTCGATGATGAACCATAGGATGTAGTAGATGGTCTAGATTTTGATTTCAACTCTCTAGGAAGCTCTTTAGTACCCATAAGTACTCGGTTCACCATGGGGATCATCCCGAAAACCGTCGATATCGGTGAGGCTGTCGATTGAGGAATCAGTAACTGAACAAAGGAATCTAATAATGAATATCCATGAAATAGAAAGCTATACAATCTAGAAGCTACCTATATCATCTTCAGTGACTGCTGGTGTTTCCGCTTCGATCGTCGACGTATTTTCCGTGACTGTGCTCGTTGATTCCGGGATATCACACTGGAATTAGTTGTCCGATTTCCTTGTCCGTTATCCGTAGCTAGTTTTCGTTTGGGATGTAGAATTGATAGGAAAAATAGAGCCAAATTTAGGGCAGAAATTGATCAGAAAAGGCATAATGCATTTCTCTCATTTTAGCTATCAACATTTGCATAATGCATTTCCCTTATTTTAGCTATCAACCCACTTGCACTGCTCCAGTCGGCTCATAATAGTCTCTCGTTTGGAATTTCAACAATCTGCAAAGCTGTGTAAACTTTTATTCTTTATTAACTCACTTAGCTGGTGCTTGATCTCCAACATGAGCGAATAGGTCACAAACCTAAATGATTAGATTAGATTAGAACAAAATCCCCCAGAAGAATGTTACTTGATTGACATTGTCATAGACAAAAGATCGGCAACTGTACAATCCAAGTTGTGACTCCAAACAATGACGCTTGCATTTCGCCAGTTTTGTTGAAGATCTGATAAAGAGTAAAGACAATTAGACGTTTAGATTTACCGTCTTTCATATGGTTGAGCATTGACAATGATTGCGTTAGCATAGCGTCGAAAGCATGGATCACCTAAAGCGCTAATAGAAAACTATTGAAAACTGCCGGCTATTGATATCACGACTTGTTCGATACAACGACTCATACTTTCGGTCCCGATCTTACTTACTTCTATTGGGTTGGTGAATTGAAAACTGCCAGCTATTGTCATATGTGACAGTTTGAGCACTTTCTTCAAAAGAAACCCATTTTGGTGTCAATGGAAAAGGTGTAGAGAATCAAAAATCAAGCTTATATCCAAATTTTCAGAACGATTCAAAAACCGGTTTTCAAGAAATGTCAAATCTATGAATTTTCACAAAACTTACATTTTAAGCGAAACTATTAGTTGTATCTTTTTGGAAATTTGGCTATAAGCCTAATTTTTGATTCTCTACAACTTTCCTATTGACACCAAAATGGGTTTCTTTTGAAGAAAGTGCTCAAACTGGGACATCTCCAGTCCTCCATTTTTGAGTCTCACACGTGTCTCACACACAAACCAAAATCCTACTACGAAAGAGGAATCCGCAAATTGCCTGTAAAATGGGCCGTTAATGCCGTTAATGACGACCGTTAATGCAATCAAATACAGTGAACAGTTGGGAAAGGTGAATGAATCCCTGAAGAAGAATAGGCCCTCCAAGTCAAAGGGCTTTCTCATCCACGACAACGCGTGCCCTCATGTTGCAAAACTGACTCGCTCTAAAATAAATAACCTTGTTTGGGAACTTTTAGCGCATTCCCCATACAGTCCGGACCTCGCCCCTTTTGATTACTATTTATTCCGGATCATGAGTAATGAGCTTGCGGGAGAACACTTCGATTCGGAAGAAGCAGTCAAAAATTGGCTTTGAAAGCTTTTTGATTCAAAACCAAAATCCTACTACGAAAGAGGAATCCGCAAATTGCCTTTCAAATGGGCAGAGGTCGTCAATAATAATGGAAATTATTTGGAATGAATTGATGGTTTTATGTTGAATAAATTTTAGTTCAAAGTCCCGCAGTTTTCAATTCACCAACCCAATATTTACGAAGTTCAAGCTAAAGTAGAAATCTTTTAAAAACAAACTAGCGTCCGGCACTCCAGCAACAAGCTGACGATCTTTTGTTTCCGAGTCTTTGCTCACCCTCGAGCGTCCGATCTGGAAAACATTCTCAAGGTTATTTACATCCATTCAACTTACTCGATCTGGTTTATAGGGTTTAGGAGGAAGTCCATAACTGCTACCACCGCCATACTAAAAAAGTTTTGGTAAAGATAAAGACTGATCAATAAATCAGAGTAATACCGATGACGGGAGTTGATAGTTTTGGAATTTCTCTTCTTGATCTTTTCTTCTTTCTTTCCTCTTCGTTACACCGTCGAAATAGTTAACAAGATGTCGTTCTCGAGCCTTTAAAACTTCACTTCTAAAATATTTATATTATATAATGTTTCAAAATCATTTTCTTACAAATCTTTCTCTCTTTCCGATGAATTTGGAGTTTGATTTTTGAATGAATATCTAAATGATTTGTGAATTAAAAGAGAAATAAAAGAAAATAGGGTCAAACCTTTGTGAAGAGATCTCATCACGAAGCATTTGTCTTGCTATCATTATCGGTGGGAAAAGTAGAAGAAAGATAAATCTCATAGTGTTATGAAGGGAATCAATCGAATGTCAATCGAATACGAATTGGTGAAATCTGAAGAACTTTGAAAATTCGACAATAGAAGAGATGCAAGCGAGAAAAGGGGCGATGAAGGAAAGGAGAAGAGTGACCGGTCCACTCGATTTTCTGTGAAGACTAAGATGAACTCCTTTTTGAAAAGAAAGATTTCTTTTCATTGCTTTTTCTATACCACTCTTTCTTCTACAAGCTACTAATAGTTGAGAGCTTTGTGCTAAGCTCTTTTTGGCAAATCCAGATAGAAAAACCCACCTCAAATCTCGAGAGCTTGAAGTGGGCTTGAATTAAACTCTTGAATTCTTCAGTACTTTAACAAAGACTTTGAATTGTTTTGAATGGTAAAATGGTAACTTTTCTTGACTTGACTTGACTTGTAACTTGACTTGTAACTTGACTAAACAAGATAATATTGTATTAAGAAGGGTAGAAAGCTCGAAAACTGTGAATTGTTGTAAAATGAGGAAAGCAAGGATTGAGAATGAAATGAAAGTCACAGAATGGGTTATAGGGCTCAATTATAAGTCGGGAAAGATCCTTCCCCCATCTTTTCTCTTCTTTTCTTTTTTCTCTTCTTTTCTCTTCTTTTCCACCATTTCACAGTCACTTGTCCTCCTTGGGTCAATCTCGCACACAAAAGTTTCAAAATAAATCTTCTCTCACAGTTTTAGTTTTAAAAAAGCATTTGATGAGGTTTAATTTGTTTCTTTTATTAAAAACATTTGTATAAAACGTTTATTGCCAAAAGTTATTGATGAGCAATGTTGTAATGACCGTGCGGTTTGAAGAATTGCTCGAACCAAACGAGAAAAACAAAGAAAAGAATGGTGAGAGTACAGAAAAATGTGAGCAAGAGTCGGTCGAGCACGTTCGCCAGATATTCCCACTCGAGAGCGCATCTAGAAGAGAATTTAAAAGTATCAAAGATAGAAGAAGAACCATCTAAATAATCAAGCATCCAATACCAGCCAAAATCACGGTGAATAGCTTTATTGGTCAGCGGTGAAGGCTGTCCAATCCATGTCCCGGTAGCGCAGTTGGGAGGGCGCTGGTCTACAACTCGCGCGGCCCGGGTTCGACTCCCTTCTACTCAACTTCGTCTTTTTGAATTTTTTCATTTTAAATGACACAACTATATTATATTCATACTCTCTTTTAAGCTCCAATATCCAAACCTTCTCATCATTTTCTGCCTTTTGATTTGCCGTGCATTCGCGGCCGAGGCTCCGGCTCGAAAAACGCCTCTTTCACGCTCTTTTTGTCTCATGTGAATCGTGTACTGTCTAGTTATTGATGCCATTCGTCTGTAAAATGTTATTTATATGCTAAATATCTTTAAAAATGAAGATAAAAACATATTATTCACAAGCTAAATCACAAACCGCTCATATTCCAGCCCCGGTACTTCACTCACTTCCGATGAAATCGATTGAAAGAGTACATGAGCTCGACCAGGAAGTTCCTTAATTTTTAGCTTTTTAGCTTTTTAGAAAAGAATTTAAAGAGAAAAGAATTTAAAGAGAAAAGAATTTAAAGAGAAAAGAATTTAAAGAGAAAAGAATTTAAAGGAAAAAGAATTCTTTTTAGAAAAGAATTTAAAGCGAAAGAATTCTTTTTAGAAAAGAATTTAAACTTTAACCTAAAAAAAAGAACTCAAATTGTCTACATAAAAGAAAAAAGATAAAAGCTAAAAAAACTGAAAGAGAAAAAAAAAGAAATTCTTTTTATTGACCATTTGCTTTTCACGCATTTCTTTAACCATATTCAGCAAGTCTTCTGGTTTGATTTCCTTGAAAAAGTGATATGATTTTAAAAGTGATGAGAATCCTAAAACAACTTTAACACTTGATCTTCGGTGTACCGAGATGGGATCGAGTCGTTCGGCGAGTAGTGGATCCATATCAGCCATGGGAAGACGCTCGGCGTCGATGATTCCGAATTCCGTCCACAGCTCTAGCAGGCCGGTCGGTGGCTAATTTTTGGTATTTTGTTGAATTCATCAGATTGGTCTTATTTTTAGAGAGGTGTTGGTGTAGTTTTTTTCAAAAAAATTACTTCTAGAATCAATGTTGAAACAACACGATTGTGAACAAGATTGCGCACTCTTCTCGACAACGGTCGCAAGTAATGTTTTTGACCATGAATCGCTGAATGATCTGATTTAAATAATCGCTAAAACTTTTACCAAGAACAATCGTTGCCATTAGTGTTCCAATGACAATCACAAATATTATACCCATATAGTACCAGCCTAGATTTTATTGATTTCAACTTTCTTCAGCTCACTCATTAGAGCTCACTCATTAAAGGCACATATGTGGATGTAGAGGGCATCTGATTGCAAACCATTAGCATCATAATTGACATCGTTAGCAGTGTGTTGATTCCTAGACTTTCGTTATGTTTTTGAATTTGATTCACTTTAAACCAAGATAAAGCTTTTCATCTCTTTCACTCGACGACGAGGTTGGCGTGAAAAAGCCGGTGACAGCGACAAGGGTGATGATCGAAGTTGGGATCACCTAAAAAATTTGCAAAATCTCGAGTCACGATTTCTTTACCAGATTAACAATATAGTACAAGGGTTTGCGACGAATGATTAAATGGGCATAAAGCATCACCCATGAGTTATCACAGCATTGGTATGTGACCTAAAAAACGAGTAGTTTACCGTATTCTCTCTAATAGAATCGCATTCTCTAATAGCACCAAAAGCGCCGCCTAAATTCCTCGAAATCTCGAGAACCACTTATCAGAACCTATCGATGTGGGGTCGGAAAATGTAGCTAACGATGAGATCTTGTGGGGGATTAGAGAGTTGAGCTTCTGTGAGAACTTTGAAACCGTAAAATAGTCATTAACTCTGCACTAGAGAGCACTAACTCTGCACTAGGTGCACTAGAGAAAATACGGTGTTGTTTTTGAATGTCTGATTTTGAAACGATTCAAATCAAATACCAAGAGCTCCAGTATTTGAACAAGATCGTGACTCGAGGCCACACAGCAACGACTTGTCAGCGCAATCGCGTCGTCTGCAATGTTTATGGCCGAGTTAATGACTATTTTACGGTTTCTAAGTTTTCGCAGAAGCTGCAACTCGAGGCCATACGGCAACTATTAGAACTATTAGAACTATTAGAACACGGCAACTTGTCAGCGCAACTATTAGAGAGAATACAGTATGTTGTTTGTCCGAAAAGATTTCCTTTTTGAAAAATAACAAATCTTCACCAATTAATCTATGGTTTTTTTTAAAAGAAAAATTCTTTCTTTTTCAATTTCCATCTTTTTAAGTAAATTTTGTTTTATTTTTCAACAAAATTCTAAAATGTTTACCACAATTCTTTCAAATTCGAAGCTTATCACCGACCACTCCTCGTTTTGTGCCATATTTTTCAGATTCACTTCTCTAAAATCTTTCTAGACTAGACTTGCACTAGACTTTTATCAAACTTAAGTGTAGGCCAATAGTCAATCGTTCGATTGTCGTGAGTCCATGAGGAGATGATGAAGGTACAATTTTGCACATCATAAGGAAAAAGACGAACCTAGATTTAGAAGCTACTGAAGTTACTGAAATATTCAGTAAACTTCAGAACTTCAGAACTTCAAATATTCAGTAAACTTTATGTATTATGTTTCGAGATTAAAACACAAACATCCATCTTGCATGTGAGACGATAGATGGCGGGAAACATGAGCTGTATGGTCGCCCCTTTTGAGTCATTTCTCCAGTAGCCCGTTTCAACAATTGCATGCGATAAAGACTCGGTTTTCTTTTGCTCCAACGTTTCGCTGAAGTGCCATTTACTCAAATCTGAGCTCAAATAGAAAAGCTACCTATTGTAAAGATAAGTATCTGGTATCCAAATGTTGTAATGCGGGACAATCGTTTTATTCAAACCACCATAATCGTTCGGATTCCAATCCAAAAACTCGTCATACCAATTCTGAAGAGTTTTTTTTGTGGTTTAAAATTTCTTCCTGAAGAACCTGAACCATCCAAACATTGACAACAATTGATTGAGAGTGTTCATCCTATTATTTATTATATTTCATTTTTAAATTTGAACACCTACCACATCAAGAATTTGATAGAGACTCATACTGACGTTGACCCTTGTGTTTCGAGTGTGATCTCTCTGAAAGCTCAGCTCTTTATGTCTAAAGAAACACAACCTTTCTGGCGCACTTAATGCTTCATTTTCCTCTAAACAAAAGGATTTCAATGTGCCAGAAAGCTTGTGTTTCCAATTTCGAAAAAGTCGAAATAGTTTCACTTTAAAGATGCGAATTCGGATTGATTCTCATTTCAAATCTTAGGTAAAGTGTTTTAGTGTACCCCTAATAGTAGTGCACCCAAAGCTTCGCCTAAATTCTTCGAAATCTCGAGAATCGCTTATCAGAACCTATCGATGTGGGATCGGAAAATGTAGCTAACGATGAGATCTTGTGGGGGTTTAGAGAGTTGAGCTTCTGTGAGAACTTTGAAACCGTAAAATAGTCATTAACTCAGTTTGGCCGGGTGCACTAGAGAAAATACGGTGTTGTTTTTAAGTGTTATCACAGCATTGGTATGTGACCTAAAAAACGAGTAGTTTACCGTATTCTCTCTAATAGAATCGCATTTTCTAATAGCACCAAAAGCGCCGCCTAAATTCCTCGAAATCTCGAAAACCGCTTATCAGAACCTATCGATATGAGATCGGAAAATGTAGCTAACGATGAGATCTTGTGGGGGATTTGAGTGTTGAGCTTCTGTGAGAACTTTGAAACCGTAAAATTGTCATTAACTCGGCTCGCCGGGGTGCACTACTATTAGAGAAAATACGGTAATTGTTTTTGAGCATCGTGTTGCATAGACTTTTTTATCACTCGGCTAGGATTGTTAAAGTCATTAAAAATGTTACAATTACAGTAGATTTTATGATTAATTGTTGTTTTTGTTAAGTTAATCTATTGTTTTAGAAAGTCAAAAAGATGCTGATCAGCATTTATAGTGAACCTATCGATGTGGGATCGGAAAATGTAGCGATAGGTTCACTATAAATGCTGATTCTTTTTACTCTAAAAACTTTACCCTAGGATGAACAGTCTTTTCATAGAATTGTGGATCGAGTAGATCATCGACTAATCGTCTTTGTCGATTCACTACATTCAACGAGTTCAGTCGATCCATTTGACGCCATTTCTCTTGCATATTTGAATCATATATTGCAGAAGTGTTCGCTGATGCATTATCTAAATTTTAATCGAAATTTTTGCTTATTTACTTTGAAGCAAATAAAGCCTTGAGGCCTAGAAAGCCTTGAGGCCTAGAAAGCCTTGAGGCCTAGAAAGCCTTGAGGCCTAGAAAGCCTTGAGGCCTAGAAAGCCTTGAGGCCTAGAAAGCCTTGAGGCCTAGAAAGCCTTGGGCCCAGAAGCCCGGGCCCAGAAAGCCTTGAGGCCCAGAGCCCTGGGCCAGAAAGCCTGGGGCCCAGAAAGCCTTGAGGCCTAGAAAGCCTTGGGCCTAGAAGCCTTGGGCCTAGAAAGCCTTGAGGCCTAGAAAGCCTTGAGGCCTAGAAAGCCTTGAGGCCTAGAAAGCCTTGAGGCCTAGAAAGCCTTGAGGCCTAGAAAGCCTTGAGGCCTAGAAAGCCTTGAGGCCTAGAAAATGTTTTAGTTTAAGCCGATTGGCAAATAATGGAGTGGCAATAAAATAGAGGTCAACGGGTCATCGAAAAAAGGGAATGAGGAGTGATTGGGTGACTCACTCTCTCCCAGTTCATTGCCATGCCAAAAGCCGAACCGGATTCACCCATCATCACCATTCTCTTCTTTTCCTTATCCTCTTTATCATTGAAAAGCTAATCCTAAACCTTGCTTGTTCTCTATTTCTCTATCAATATTTTCAAATCATTTCAAATCATTTAATTTTAGTTCCAAGATGTTAAAGCATCAATTTCTAATTCACGTATTCATTGCTATTTGTTCGAGTCACTTTTTGACGTCAAATCGAATCGATCCTGAGCGCGATCGCTTTGTCACTGTTCAAGAATATTATAATCAAATCAAATGCACAAAAGGATGTGAACAGAATGTAAATGAATATTCGAATAAACCCAGCTTTCAGTTAAGCCCAGTTAAGCCCAGTTAAGCCCAGTTAAGCTCAGTTAAGCCCAGCTTTCAGTGCTACAATTTCATGACCTATCGCTGGGATGAGTTGTCCGCAAATTGCTATGAATGCATTGGGAATTGCTCAGCAAAAGTCGCTCCAGCAAAGCTTGTGTTTAAACCACGTAAGTCCATTTTGAAACGAAAGACGGACACAGATTTTCCCTAGCGTCTTTTCTCGTCGACACATCGGTTTGTTGCCCGTCTTACGAAGCATATTATGCTACCGTATCTGTTCAGTGGGTCCTTTGAAATCAACTTTTCTCAAATTCAAATTTTTAGCTTTGAAGTGTCAAATAAGAATATTTTAAAAGAAGCTTACATTGTTTGGGAATATCGAATGTCAAGAGGTGTTTATGATTTTGCGCCAAGTCCATGGATGACGATTTTGGTATGGATTGGTGAGATTTGATTGAATTGTTGTGGATGATTGAGTTGAATTGATGATGATTGAATTGATTGATTGATTGATTGATTGATTGATTGATTGATTGATTGATTGATTGATTATTGAGATCTCGAAAATCTATCCTTAAATCATTACTTCATAAAGCACTAAAGTTTTGCGCCAAGTCCATGGATGATGATTTTGGTATGGATTTGAGTTGAAATTGAGTTGAGAATGATAGATTGATTCATTCATTCATTCATTCTTGAGATCTCGAAAATCTATCCTTAAATCATTACTTCACAAAGCACTAAAGCTTTTAGCAAACTCGCGCCGAACGAGCAACAATCGAGGGCTTAATTCGAGATGTCTCTTTTCAATTCCGAGCAAATCTCGTTGATGGAATTGGACCAGTGGAAAGATTGCTCACTCAATGGATTGATATCGAGGATTTCCCCGCTACTAGTCCTCATCAACTAGTTTGTTATAAAAATATTATTTTTTAAAACCCATTTAAGGTAACAACTCCTACAAAAATCACAACAAAAAAGCCCGAAAAGACACTGAAAACAACTACAATGAAATCTATGATCTCCACGACTACGACAAAGCCTTTCACAACAGAAGAGGTCTTAAATTTTCAATAGAGGAAATAAAATCGTTTTAGTTTCATAAAACGAATGAAACGGAAAAAATCTTGTTGATGAAGTCAAATGAAACAGAGCTTCAACCGAAGAAAATCGAAAAAGAAAGAGACGATGTGGAATTCATTATTGGCAAGAAGGTCGACCCAAACTTGGGACTTTTCAAACGCGCCTAATGTCATTTTTTGTAAAGAACTGATTCTCATTAAAATCAAATTATCAGCAGATAGGTGTAGTAGAATTCTTTTATGAATTTTTATCTAGAAATAAATAAAGTAAATCGATTTTAAAAGATAAAATCAGTTTTTCAAGTACCTATTGGGTTGACGCCTATGATTTGTCGAATTTTTCAAAAACGTCCAATTTTTTTTTTGTTTCACCATAAATCTCTCTGATTTTTTAGAATTAAATAGGTCATTTAGGTAAAAAAAATCCATTTTTTTAGTAGAGAATGAAAAAAATCTTTAGTAAAACAATGAAAAATGACTGTTCGAAAATTGGCGCAACTTTAAAGTCCATTCGAATTCGTTAACCACCATGAAATTCCCTTCAAATTTCATAGTTGAATAGAGATTATTTCCTATATTCTAGAGTTTAATTTTGACGCAAATCTATGGTAAAAACTTCGAGAAACAACTCTTTTTGTTATAACCTCTAAATTGGGCAATTGAAACGGTTGTGTGGCAGAGGGTAGGCGATTGTGTGTGAGCACTCAGAGAACACTATCTTCTGACTTTTGATGCATTGTTTTTTGCATGCTTTATAATTGATATTTGTTTATTCAACAATATCTTCGTTATTTTCGAATACTTGGGCCAATTTGTAGTTTCGTTTCATGAGTTTTTGCTGCCCCTACGGACCGAAATCCTTGGGATGAATCCAAAAATTCACAGCGGCTCCCTTCAGCACCCTTTTACAGGCACTTGGGATCCCATTTCGACCGACAGAGAACCCGCCATAATGGTCAAAATGAGCTGGAATTGGGTTGACCAATCCTACAGCCAAAGTTGTTTTTGGGAAGCGGTGACCACATGGGGCAGACAACGGACTGGTTACCGGATGACCCAAAATGGACGCTTCCGATTTGAGCAGTCAGAAGGGAACTATATGAGCAAACCTCGTATGCCAGATCGTGTGCGATTGTGCTCGCGCACAGGGAATACCCCGCGATTTTCTTTTTTGCATTTTAAATTTCAAAAACTTCAAATTTTTGGAATTTAGTTTTAATGTTTTTTTTTTTTTGATAAAACCCCGGGTACAATTTTTCTGTTCAAAAATTTCAAGCTTTTTGAATTTATCTAAAAGGATTTCGGTCCGTAGGGGCAGCAAAGACTCATGAAACTAAACTACAAATGAGCTCAAGTATTGGAAAATAACGAAGATTATGTTGAATAAACAAATATCAATTATAAAGCATGCAAAAAACAATGCATCAAAAGTCAGAAGATAGTGTTCTCTGAGTGTTCACACACAATCGCCTACCCTCTGCGCCTACCTAATGACCTATTTAATTCTAAGAAAATCGGAGAGATTTATGGTAAAAGCAAAAAAAATCGGACGTTTTTGAAAACCCGACATATCATAGGCGTCAACCCAATACCCCAATAATTTGATATTTAGTGAGAATCAGGTCTAATTTCTTTAATAAAAGTTTTACTGATTACCTGTTTTTCTTTGAATGAAGAAACGATCACGATTCATTTCGAGAGCCGGTGAAAGAGTCGGCGGTTCAGAGTTTGCTTCAAGCCATGAAGCATAATCGAAAGTTGATTGAGACACCTGAAATAGTTATTACTTTGATATTTTCAATATTTTCAATATTTCAAATATTATATAATATTATATAATATTATATAAAGCTATTATAAAGCTATTATAAAGCTATTATAAAGCTAACCTCGACCAGTTTCCCTCTTTTTTCGTAAGCGTCTACTAAACAAGCAAAAGCTGTGAAGAAATGGAGAATCATTTTTTAGTAAATAGGTCTGAAACGTTATTATTAAATGTTCGAAAAAAAATTGGACGATTTTTCGAAGAGTAAAAGCTGATTTTCGATAGACTAAAATGAGGAAGAACCCATAATTGGGAAGAGGAGAGCGCCGGGTAATGAGTAATGAGTGAAATGAGTGAAAGGAGTGAAAGGAAAGGAAAATAGGGTCACAAGGCAATTTCCGTTCCACCACAACACTAGTTCACTTTGGGATGATTCAACTGCCACCAAATGTCACTATGTAAAAGACATTTGTCAACCTTATCTCAAGTTTTGCAAATTTCCCATGAACTTGGCTTAGAATTAGATCGATGCCATTAGATTAGATAGGGTTCCAATACGAATATTGGAACCGTATTGGATCTAAAAAGAACCGTATTGGAACCCTATTGGAACCGTATTGAATTTAAAAAGAACCGTATTGGAGCCGTATTGGAACCGTATTGGATCTAAAAAGAACCGTATTGAAACCCTATTGGAACCGTATTGGATCTTTGACTTTGGGCATTGATAAGAAATCAAATAGAACTATGTCAGGTAAAAACTTTTCAAATACGATATAGCATCTAGTGATGAGCATTTTTTTCCCCTTTTCATCCCCGATGGCCGGGCTTGTAAATAATTGACGACCCCATTCAATCTCTATAGGTCTAAATCAAAAAAAGAGTTCTCAGAGAATAAACGAAAAAAAATTTAGATCAATACATGGAGAAATCATTTAACATCTTTAACTTTAACTTTAACAACTTTAACAACTTTAACAACTTTAAAATCATTTAAAAAATTCCATTGATGACGATTATTTACTAATAAATGAATACTAATTATTTACTAAAATTATTTACTAATTTACTAACTACTAATGACGATTATTTTTGATTTCAGTTTTTAAGGATTTTGTTATTCATTTTGTTATTTATTTTGTAATACTTCTCGATAACTTTATATTAGTTTTCAAGAGGAGATCGAATAACTATAATACTTTAGTTTATCTTCAGTTTATTTTCACTAAGTTACAGTTAACGACTACACGACTGTACACTCAAAATGCCATCGTCGCAAATGTAAGAAAAAAGGCTTAAAGGTTTATGTTGAAGTGGATTGTGTTTGATGGAAAAGGAGAAGGAGTGGGGCACTCCCTCGGGGAGATCGCGGGAGACGATGTCTTCCGCTCTGGTGCCCCACTTTTAGGGGAAGGGGAAGGCCCTCAATGTGAGCGACCAGCTATGGGTTCGGCGAGGGCATCGATGAAGAAAAACCACTCACACATAACTTCGGAAAAGGAAATATTTTGTTGAAAACATGTTGAGTGGGGAAACAGAAGATGGGTCTAACATTGAAAACAATTTTGACGAGAAAGAGATTCTCGTTACGGTAATGTTTTTTAAAACAAATGTTATAGTATAAATTTTAAAGGCATCTAGAAACTGCTTTCAAATCCTATTTATCATAAGCCATTTTCGAGGTATAAGCCCTCAAAGTTTCAGCCAATTTCGCCAAACAGCAAGCTAGCCTACAAACTAGCCTAAGGTGTTGCCGCGAGCAACTCGGTGTGCCTAAGTAGCCTAGTGGATAGTGTGTTAGTACGTCAGTTTTGGCTCATCTTTTGGATCCCTAGTTCAGATCCACTGTCGAGCAAACTTTTTGTTGGCTAAGAGCCCCATATCTTACCAGGAAACCCCTTGAGATTACATTTCAGAAGCGATCTGATTTCGAGCAAACACCTCAGCAAACACGATTAAGGACATCCCGAAACTGCTTTCCTATTTATCATCCCTATTTATCATAAGCCTTTTTCGAGATATAAACCCTCAAAGTTTCAACCAATTTCGCCAAACAACAAACTAGCCTTAACAAACTGCCGTGAGCCAATCAGTGTAGTAAATGGTTCTGAGAGTTCAAAATACCATTTAATAGCTATTTTTTTTGCGCATCTTTTAAAGTCTAAGCTATTGCAAATGGCTTATTGCGGTGGCGAGAAAATCTATAAAGTGTAAAGGGGGAGAGTACCCTCTCTAAAGTGTCTCCTTAGATTCCAGTTGAAATATTCTGGGATTCCACCGAGCAATTCATTCTTCAATTAAAAACAGTAAAATTAAAAAGTATTTTACATATTTTACAAAAAAAAGTAATTCAAAAGACTCAAATGTGGTCGAGATATGAGGGTGAGAAGAAAAAAGGGGCACTTTTCGAAAGTGTTCCCCTTTTTTTTCTTCGAGTTGGACGCTCGAAAACTATAAAAAGAAGCAATGAAGGTGGAAATGCTGACTCAAAATTCAGCAAATCTCATTTATTCCTTCACAATATGCGCAATTTTAACAAAACTCGGTGAACTGTTGAAAAAATTGTTTGTTGTGATTTCGGAAGCGACAGATCAGATGCCAGCTACGGTTACGCCATTTGATGCCAAAAAATTTGTATGTGCGCTATAGGAGAAGCCATATAAGGCCAACATCACTCATGGACGACTTCTTTCAGTTTTGTGTTTCTCTGGTTGTCCCCAAGAAAATATTATTGCTTCTAGACAACTCGAGCGCATAGAATAAAGAAGAAAAACGTTAAAGGCCTCCTTCGGATCGAGGCCAATTTTCAACAAAATCTTTTTTCCTAAAAATTACTGACTATTTTTTAATTAGTGTATTGGTGTCCAGAAAGCATAAAAATGATTTGGCAAAAAGGAAATGGAGAGACTTATGCTATTTTACTCCTAATTATTCTTGTTGTCTGTTCGATTAAGGTGGTAGAAATGAAAGCAGCGCTCACATATCTTTCGAAAAATAGAAAGATTACAAGCCTCAGCCAATAAGTCTTGTATACTATTAGAAAGCTTTGAATCTCTTCTAAAAAACAGTGTTTTTGAGTTTTTGAAAAGTTTTTGAATTTAATTGATTATTAAAGAATTGAGTGACTTTTGAGTTGTAAGCTCAAAAATGATCATTTTCTGAAAAATGTGTTTGTGGTAATAGCCATGCCCGGGTTTTCCGTCAGAAAATACCGCCAATTAAAGTTATTTCAAAATAAAATAAAATAAAAGCACTCCCTTTGTTTGTTCGTCTTCTAGAGCGTCTTCTAGAAAAACTTCTACAGGGTGCGGCATAAGTATGGTTACAAGGTTGTAACATTGATTTAAGAAGCTGATTGATTTTTATTTCTTGCCAAAGGATTATTTTTTCTTAATTTGAATGCTTTTTTATATTATGTAGCAGTTTTTAAACAAATTTTTAAGTTTGGACATAACGGTGAAGGTTTCTCCCAACCGTGCCGCTATTCTTCAGCTTGGAGCACAAGGACGATCAACTTCGGATATTGCCCAACTGCTGAAAATGCATCGAATGACGGTATGATTACTGTTGCTAATTTTAAATAAAGTTCGCATGAATTCGTTCATATTTCATTACGATACACGGTTCTGAGTCTGTAACCATACTTATGCCGCACCCTGTAGAGCTAGAGTTTTTCAAAAAAGTTCCATTTTAGGTCAAAAATGGTTACTTTCAACTTTGGATTCTTATATCTCGATAAAATCTAAGCTGATTGTTTGAGTTTTGGTATAAATATTGAGTAATATATATCCTTAATATACTGAAAAAATTCCAAGCGAAAAGATCCTTGGAAGCGGTAGTTGCCAGCAGTCGCAGGTATCCAGGCTGAGACTCGACCTGCGATCAATTTTTAACACCCAAGTCCCCAATAATCAATCAAATACAAAAACTTTTTGCACTGTTTTGTAGAAGAGATTCAGAGCTTTCTAACAGTATACAAGACTTATTGGCTGAGGCTTGTAATCTTTCTATTTTTCGAAAGATATATGAGCGCTGGTTGCATTTCTACCACCCTAATCGAACAGACGACAAGAATAATTAGGGGTAAAATAGCATAAGTCTCTCCATTTCCTTTTAGCCAAATCATTTTTATGCTTTCTGTATACCAATACACTAATTAAAAAATAGTCAGTAATTTTTAGGGAAAAAAGGTTTTGTTTAAAATTGTCTTCGATCCGCATCCCTCCTTTAAACCATTATTCAAGTTGATAGAGAACAGTGTAGGTCCAGATACCCAAAAAGAGGCTGTTGGATCAATTATTGGTCACCTTTTTTCCATCAAACTAATATTATCGAAGAGATTACTGATTTTAAAAAGTAATTTTAGGGTGTTTTTTCTAAAAGAAACAAAAATTTTGATCGACAACGGATCTGAACCAGGAATCCAAAAGATGAACCAAAACCGACGCGCTAACACACTTATCCACTAGGCTACTTAGGCACACCGAGTAGCTCAACACCTTAGGCTAGTTTGTAGACTAGCTTGCTGTTTGGCGAAATTGGCTGAAACTTTGAGGGCTTGTATCTCGAAAATGGCTTATGATAAATAGGATTTGAAAGCAGTTTCGGGATGTCCTTAATCGTGTTTGCTGAGGTGTTTGGTCGGAATCAGATCGCTTCTAAAATGTAACTTCAAGGGGTTTTCTGGTAAGATATTGGGCTCTTAGCCAAATCCAACATTTGACATTTGACAAACATCAAATCAAACACTCTTAGCCGAATCAAACATTTCCACATGTTATCCAAAGAATTGGCTTTTCAGTCTATAGCTGGATTGTTGTGTGTGAGTGTGTGTGTGTGTTTTTTTTTTTTTGTTTACCCCTCTCGCTCATTTTCAAGGTTATCGAGAAGCAATTTTTGAGCTAGTTTTTCCGTTTAATCCATCCTCAATTCACTCACATTTTTTCAAAAAAAAAAAACCATTGATTTCCCACTTTTCTATAAAGATTTATGAGTAATTGTGGGGGGTTTTTTTTTGATGAGACGATTTGTGAAGAGAGGATAAACGACCTTGAGTACTCAACTCGAATCTCCTCTTTTCACAAATTCTGCCCCACATTTGCATACACACAAAAAGACCTGTATTCATAGCTAATTCCACGCACAACAAAGAAAAAGGCTCCCACTTCAGCCTGAGCTCTTGCTCTTGCTTTTTCATTCTTGCTTCAAGTACTGCTTTTAACATTAAAAAAAACTTATGATACTTCTCGAATCGTTTTGTTTTACTCATTTGGGGAATTTTGTGAATTTTTTGTTGTACACAAACAAAGTTAGACCTCAACACTCCTATTGAAGTGGACACGAATTTTTGCGTCTACTAAATATTTGTTTACCCAGCGAATCGCTCGCCGCTCTGTAGATGGGAAAATTCTCGAAAAAAAGGCATTTATATTCTCCCCACCAGAAACAAATCGGAGTTATTTTCAATAGTTGAACTTATCCCCTAAAAATCATGTGGCGAAAAGAGGCTCGCGAAATTGTTCAGGTGATTTTGATAGATTTTATTACTAAATTTATCAAATTATGGGGATTTCAAAAAATTGTAATAAGAATTACAATAAACCTTTTGCTTGAAAAGTAAATTTTCTAGACCAGGCCAGACTAGAAACTGTTCCAGATCTGGTTTTGCTGCAGATTTGGTTCACTCTGGATCAAAGCCGGGCTTGGGCCTGGCTTCAGTCTCAGGCCAGATCTGTAGATTAACATGTGCAGTTGTTTTGCAATCCTTATGTGCGATTGCAACAGTTGCAATCAATCAATCAATTCAATCAATTCAATCAATTCAATCAATTCAACCAATTCAATCAATTCATTCAATTCATTCAATCAATCAATTCAATCAATCAATCAATTCAATCAATTCAATCAATCAATTCAATCAATCAATTCATTCAATCAATCAATTCAATCAATCAATCAATTCAATTCAATCAATTCAATCAATCAATTCATTCAATCAATTCAATCAATTCAATCAATTCAATCAATTCAATCAATTCAATCAATTCAATCAATTCATTCAATTCATTCAATCAATCAATCAACAATACAAAAGTTCAGCTGTTTTCATGTTTCACCATTAAAAATCTACATGATTTGGTAAATTTCTTGACTAAACTGTTTTCACCATTCGTTGAGTCACTAAAAGAGCGGAAAGTAATAAAAATGGATAAAAAGGGCGTATGATTTTAGGATAAAGGTGAGAGGGGTGAGCCTGAAACGAGCCGAGAAAAGTGGCTGACTCAAGGGGGAAGAGTTTCATACGTTTTCACCCCTCTTTTTTTGGTCTCTTTCTCCTCTTTCCCCAACTGTTCAAAGAAAGAAATCATTGGCTGATTCAAAAGAAATCTGCAAACAATCCCCTCCTTACTCTTCAAAAGAAAAAAATATTCTTTTAAAAGCCTATCTCTTTCTTTTACCATCTTTGTGAAACATTTCTAGCCCTTTTCTATAGATTTCTTTCATTAAACCAATTTTTATTCAAAATCTTCTCGATTTTTGAAAGAATTTCAGAGCAGAATGGCTGAAGGAACGATTCATCCGTCAGCCACTTTCGACGAGGAACGATATGTTCATGAAATTCACAAAGCTCTCACCGCAAAGGTACAAAGAAAGTTTTGAATTTCTAGAAGGAAACTTTTCAAAGCTTTTCAAAGCTTAATACTTCTTAAATCTTTATTTAAGCAAATAAATCATGATGCTGTCATCGATTATCTCGTCAAAATCAGCAACGCACAGCGGCAAATGGTATTCAAAAATGATATTCAATAAAAGAAACATTTTAGCTTCGCACTCCATACAAATATCATTATCAAAAAGATCTTGAAGAGACGCTTGTCAAGGAATTAAAGGGAGATTTGGAGAATGTGAGTGGATAGAAAGATTTAGAATTAGATTTAGATTTAGAACTTTAGAAAGATTTAGAACTTCGATTTCAGGTGATCATTTCTTTGCTTCAAACTCCCGCCAAAGCTGATGCAATTGCTTTGCAAAAAGCTGTAAAGGTCAGGTCAAAAAGGTCAAAAGTTTAAGGCAAAGTTTAAGCAAAAGTTTAAGGAAAAGTTTAAGCAAAAGTTTAAGGCAAAGTTTAAGGAAAAGATATTTTAAAGGGAAAGGAATCGATTCTCACTTAAAATCAAAAACATCTTAGTTTTTCCTCATCTTATTTGAGATTATTTAGGGCTTGGGAACTGATGAACGGGCGTTGATTGAGCTTTTGACTACGAGAAGCAATGAGGAGATTGAAGCTGCTAGAAATACGTATAGATTTAGTTCTTCAATTGAATTTCTAATCTTAGAGCTCTTGTAACAACCATTCTAGATTCTACACAACTTACAATCGAACTCTTGAAGATGCGATCACCGCCGATACATCAGGTCCAAAAAAAAAACACAGACAACAGTACAGCAAAAGACTATCGACAACAAATTACATTCTAGATATTGTTTGTCATTTTATTATAGGCGATTTTCGATTGTTTCTTCTTCAACTTTGTCGAGGAGCAAGAGATCAAACGACTCAAATTGACTCCTTTGCAGCTAAACATGTTTATAACAATTGAATTTTCTTTTCAAAAGATTTTTAGATAGCTAATGAACTCAATACCGGTGTTGAAAAAAAGGAGAAATTTGAAAAGGTTTTCGCTTTCAAATTGATTTTTCAAAAAAAGCTGAAATTCTGAATTTAGCTGAAATTCCTCGTCGAAACAAATCCCCATCAGTTGCAACTCATTTTCTCTGAATATGAGAAGATCAGTGGTGGGAAAACTTTCGAAAAGTTTCTGGAAAAGGTAAGAAGAAAAGAACTTGAAGTTTTCATCCTTTTGAACTTCTACAGGATTTTTCGAGTGATGCAAAAGATTTGGTGTTGGCATTGGCGCAAGTGGCAAGGAATAAGCCATTGTTCTTCGCTCAACAGATCAATCACGCAGTTAAGGTGAGTATTTGAAAGAGAAAAGATGCTCATTTTATAATATTTAATGTTTATTGTTAGTTAACTCCCTCTGGAGTAATGGAGAATAATTATGGAGTAATAATGGAGTAATAATTGTGGAGTAATAATGGAGTAATAATTGTGCATTGGTGTAATGGTAAGCACAGTTGCCCGGTAAGCGGAAGGTCGGGGCTTCGAGTCTTTAAGTTAAGTGAGCGCAAAAGTTTTTGATCTGCGCCACTTCCAACTTGTTTTACAATCCGAATCCGATTTAGGGTTTTGGTGCTAAACACGCGGATTTGATTCGAATTCTCGTCTCACGATCTGAAATTGATCTCGATGCGATAAAAGGTTGAAAATCTCAGTCTTAAAAGTTCCAAAAAGTGTCAAGTTTCAAAAAAATCTATTTATAATCAATTATAATCAATTATAATCAATTATAATCAATTATAATCAATTATAATCAATTATAATCAATTTATTTGATTGATATTCATGTAGATTACGGTGAAAATGTACTTCTGTGAGTTCGATGTTTCTGTAAAAGAAATAACTTACTGTTTAGATGATTCGACAATCTGAGATTAGAAGATTAGAGCTACTATGCTTTTATTTACATGAAATTTCATTTATTTTGCTTGATTTTTTAAGATCAATATATGCTTTATTCATGGGGCGAATAGAAGCGAATCAGATAATCATAACTGCATATAACATATTGCTACAATACTCTCACCGAAAAAAGAGAGAAAACTAAAGTTAGTACAGTAAGAGTAAAGTTAGGAAACACAGATACAAAAAGATTAAATATAGGGCAGATTTGACATGGCAATAAGATCTATTAGGTTGATGCATAAGTGTTTTTGTTCCTTTTCGTCTGCCGTTTCAAGCCAACAAATGCACCAATTAAACTACGGTTGATTTCATTAGAAAAACCAATTATTTTTCTGCAAAATAACATTAAAACGGGTTTAAAAATATTGAATGCCTGGATTTTCTTGAGAGTATGAAGTCGGGTAGTCAAAAAGGGCTAACTCGATGATGCGGTTTAGACACCTTAGCTAAAGAAAACCTATCTTCGTGTCAATAGATAAAAGAATAGAGAAAAAAACGTTTGATATTTCGCCAAAATTTCAGAGAAATTCATTCAGCCAATTTTTCCGTCGAGTTTTTTATAGATTTTTACGAAAAAGGCGTTTTTCACTCTCGAATTTGCTTCAAAGTGAACCGAAATTCATTTAAAAAGATGCAAATTGAACAAAAAAACACTTTTTTTATAGAGCAAACTATAGATTAATTGGTGAATTTGTTACTTTTTAACAGAAGTACGAAAAAAAAGGAAAAGACTGATGCATCAACCTATTAATTCGTTCACAGATACTTTGAATTTTCCTACAGACGAGAAGATACCAGACGGGAGTTTATTCCAAACCCTACTAATACGGTTCGCAATTAGACAATCTGAGATTAGAAGATTAGAGCTACTATGCTTTTATTTACATGAAATTTCATTTATTTTGCTTTATTTTGCTTTATTTTGCTTTATTTTTTAAGATAAATTATTGTTTTTAGTTGAATATGAGAAAGCTTTTGGCAAAACTCTTCTCGATACGATCAAATCTGAAGCCAAGGGTGACTACAAAAATGCTCTTGTTGCACTCGTTTTTGGGAATCGAAAAAATTAAAACATTGTTTCTTTTGAGAGCCTTTTTCTATTATCTACTCACTTTTATGCTTTTCTAATTTTGTGCTTTTTGAAAGAAGCAAAATTTTACGATTTATTCACACCAAGAAAACAAAAAAAAACAAAATTTAGGGTACAAATTGATTTCCAAAACATACAAAGAGTGATCAATCTATAAAATAAGAAAGAAAGTAAGAAAGAAAGAAAGAAAGTAAGTAAGAAAGAAGAAAGAAAGAAATGTAGAAATCCATAGAGAAAAAGAAAAGACATAAAAAGAAAGCAAGGGTTAAGTCAATACTTTCCAGTACATTAATACATTCTCATAACTTTAAGCCTAAGTCGTTCGAAACGGCAGCCAAGTCAAGAAAAAAGACTTTAAAGCTTAGAAAATGGTGAATGTGTGAAGATTAGAAGTTTCAGTAAAAAAGGAAAAGGGGAAACGAGTGTGAAAAGGATGGGAGGGGAGAAGGGCTCTCAGACTGCCCTCGGGGACCTCCCTTTCCATCTTTCTCCCCGTTTTTGGCCCCTTTTCTTCTCCTCCAGCTTCTCCTCCCGCTTCTCTCCTCCTCAAGCTATTCCCCCATTTCCAGAAGGATTGCCTCTTCTTTCCCTTTCTTCCCATCTCTTCCCCTTCCTCCTCTACTTTTTTACTCCTTTTCCCTTCATCCCCATTTCCCTTCACCTCTTCTTTTCCCCCCGAAAGAATGCCAATACACATCACAGCCATATCGACGCATTTCCTCGAGCTTTTTATTTCAATTTGTTTTTATTTCAAACACTTGCTTACTTTCTGGTTACGAGAAAATAGTAGAATCTCCAAGTTCACACACACTTAGGCTTTAGAAAAGCTTTAGAAGCTTTAGAAAAACTTTAGAAGCTTTAGAAAATGTATTTTATTTGTTTTTTTGAAAGAAATAGCTTTTAGTTTATTAGAGTTTTCTTTATAATCTAGTTAAAATTTAAATGATTCGATTCATTTGGATTTATTCAAAATTGCGTTAACCTTTAATTCTTTGCTATTATTCTTTGCTATTAGTATTTAAAGGAGGAGTCCGAATCAGGATCAGGATTCTCACTAAAATCAAATTATCAGCAGATAGGTGTAGTTATAGAATCTATTGATGCAAAAATGATTAACGTAAATCGATTTATCAATAATTTATCGAGTATTATGAGATGAAATCCGCTTTATTGATGAAATGCAGGTTGTTTCAATCTTCAGTATTGAAGCTTGTTTTGTTTTGAGTGATCTTTGTATTTGTAGGAAAAATACAAACAAAATTATGGCAAAATTTTATCCCAGAACATCTCGCGCTCTCTTTACAAAAGAACTTTTTTTTGTTCGATTCTGCTCAGATGAGATATGAAACCAAAACCAGATGAGATTTGTACCCAGGGATTTTCGGAGTCGGGGAAACGATTGGCGGGGTTCGTTTATTGAATCTCTAAGCAAAATCTCTAAATTTTTGCTGATCTTTAGCATTGTCATTGTCCACAAATAATTACCGCTGGGATACAACCCATAAGAACCATTTATCAGGTATTAAAAGATGAAATCAGCTTTTCAGATCACTTACAACCTTGAGTATCTTAGCTTAGTATCTTAGTTTAACAACAATTAAACCCCAGAGTTCTAATTCGTAGACTCAATAAAATGAATAGCTCCAATCGATTCGCTGACCCCGAAAACCCCCGGGTACAAATTCACAGCTGAATATCTTTTTTTCTGGACCATTTACAGTCTTTCCACATTCAATTTTCTAAAAATTTTCATCGATTTTCTTTAATAAAGTTCATGGCGCTCTGAACTTTAAATTAAATCAAGAACCAACAAACTTGAAATCAAACAACAAACCTTAAATCAAGAACCAATAAACTCAACTGTTATAGTGATCTAGTTATAGAGATTAAATCTAGTTTGCTAGCCTTATTGCTGAAGAAAATTAGCTTAAGTGCTCAAGAGGAAAAGCAAAAGGCTTGCGTATTGCTTATCACACTGCTCGTCATGTACAGTCATGTACAAAAGTCTTTTCACACTCAATTTTTTTTAAAGTTTCATCGATTTTCTTTAATAAAGTTCATGGCGCTCTTTAAGCTATTAATAGTTTTAGTTACACAAATATATGTACAATTTATTTACACAAACGTTGTCGCTATGCAACACTTATTCATCGAGAAAAAAAATATAATTATCAAAACATCCCTAAAAATCGTGGTGCAAAAGTCTTTTAACACTTGCAAAAATTTTTATTATTTTCGTTCGCTTCATATTTACTGGTACTATTTTATTTTTTAGATGCCAGGAGCGTATTTGTCAACTCCGGATAAAGAAAGGATCGTCGAAGCAAGGAAGGAATGCCACGACAAGACGTTGCTCGCCTCTTAGAATGTACGCCCAAAACAGTTTCTCTTGTTACGGCAAAAATGAATGCGTCTGGAAATGTGCACAGATGTAGGAAAAAGGGACGACCAAGGATTACAACAAATAATGAAGACCGATGCCTTACGAGAGCTTTCAAGGAGGAGCCTTTTCAAGCAAACTTCAAACAAGAATATTTCCCGCTGAACCTTGCATCGACGCTTGGTTCAAGCAGCATTGTATACTAGAAGACCTGCTCTCAAGCCTATGATGACAGCCAAACACAGGAGGCACCGTCTCCAATTTGCTCGAACGTATTCAAGTTGGACAGTCGATGATTGGACCCGAGTGATTTTCGTTGATGAAACAAAAGTCGATATTTTTCCTTCCAATCGAAATCATCTGATCTGACGTCCAAACGAAAAGTGATATCAACTCAGGTACTTGCAATCTATGGTGAAAACAGGCGGAGGATCAGTTATATGTTTCGGCGAGGACAATTTTCTTTTTATGCTTTCCCAACGTGATTTCTTTAGGTGCGATGTGTAAAAGTTCAACGGGTCCGCTTGTCCTCGTCAAGTCAACAATGGATTCTCGCCAATATATTGAGATATTGGACAGATTTCTACTTCCATTTGTGACTGCTTCGATGAATCCAGGATGATTTCTTTATCAAGATAATTCGCCAGTACACAAAAGTAAACTTTTGATGGGCCGCGTTGTGACTCTATCGAATGAAGGAAAAGCACATTTACCGGGATGGTTTTGGATCAATCACATTTCTTTGATCAAAGCTTCACCATTTTCACCGGATTTAAATGTTATCGAGAATTTATGGGTCTATTTGAAATCGAAATTGCGAGAAAAACTATTCAATTCCAAAGTCGAGCTATGGTTTTACATCAGAAAAATTTGGAGGACGATTGGACCTGGAATTCTTGATGAATTAATTGCATCAATGCCTACTCGTGTTAAAGAAGTACTTTTGGCAAAAGGAGGGCCGACAAAATATTGATTATAGCTTAATTTCGTCTTGTGCAAAAAGAGACTTTTGCACCACGATTGTCGGGGGTGTTTTAACAATTATATTTTTTTTTCTCGAATTGTTTTATAGCGGCAACGTTTGTGTAAATAAATTGTACATATTTTTGTTTAACTAAAATCATTAAAAGCTTAAAGAGCGTCATGAACTTTATCAAAGAAAATCGATGAAACTTCTGAGCCGGCTTGTCTTTTTTTTGGCGTCACTATGCCCAAATTTTTGGGAACAGCTCTTGCCTTCAATTTGGCTGTATTTTTTATAAATTCTACATCCTGTTAAAGCAAAATAATTTGTTTTATTGAGAATCGGGGAATTTGGCAAAAAATATGGTGAAAATTGTGAAATAAGCACTTAAAATGGCAAAAAAAATAGCATTAAACTAATAAACCAAAAGAAATAAGAAAGCAAAGAACTGATCTAAGCCGAACTTGTGTTAAAAGTTTGTTTCTGGAATCTGTATCGAAGAGAAGAGAAGAGATCATGTCAATAGAAATCAGTTCAGGATATTTCTGTTTAAGATTGTTATAATTAAATGCAGTATAAATTACTCCTGCTGGATTAAAATGAAAGAATGCTTGTCTGGGGGGTGGGACAAATGCGATCTTTCTTTTGCGCACCTGGATTTGCGCACCTTTTTTTGGAAAAGGCCTTAGGCAAGGCCGTAGAGCTTCGAACTATTTCCATGTCAGGGGTCGTATGCGTAGATTCCGAATTTCGACAAATCAGATCTCGCTGACACGTAAATTTTGGGCCAAAGGCAAAAAACCTAAAAGGTGCGCAAATGCCCAGGTGGAAAAAAGGTCGCATTTGTCCCACCCCCGCTTGTCTGAGAATATTGGATTGCTTTTAGATTTTGAATCAATCAAATTCAAAGCTAATAGCTTGTTGGGTAATTAAAATTGTAAAAAGAAAAAGAACAAAAATAGTTTCAAAAGTAAGCATTTTTCGTCTTTCATCTTTCAAATTCTCAGTTTTAACCAATATTTTATCAAGTTGATCTCCATATTTACTTCAAATTATTCGAATTATTCGAATATTATTCAAATTTCATTTCAAAATATAATTCAATGAGTGATTAAAGCTTTTTCAAAATTAAACCAATACTGCTCTTGGCTATTTCTCATTTATCTTAATTTTTTACTTATTCAATTGAATATCTTTTAAGAAACATGTTAAAATGAACTTTTTCAGAACTCGAGATGGTGAGAAGAAAAGGAAACTGATGCTGAATTGATTCAAATCATCAAAAATGGCTACAACTCGAGCTGCCACTTGTAAGTTACATAATCAACCTATGAAAATTCATCAAGAAATTATCTAAAACCAAAATCGAAAGTAAAATATAGAGATATTCTTAAAAACAACAATCAAAGAATCAACAATCAATCAATTCTCTTTAATAAGTCAATCAGTCAATAAACAGTTGCTTTGTTTATTGATTTTTAAACTTTGAATCATTAAATAAGAAAACCTAAAATATTGATAAGTTGAAAAGTTGACGGTTTGACTGTTTGGCCGTTTGACTGTTTGGCCGTTTGACTGTTTGGCCGTTTGACTGTTTGGCCGTTTGACTGTTTGGCCGTTTGACTGTTTGGCCGTTTGACTTTTGGCCGTTTGACTTTTTGGCCGTTTGACTGTTTGGCCGTTTGACTGTTTGGCCGTTTGACTTTTGGCCGTTTGACTGTTTGACTTGAACTTGTACAAACAATAAAAAACAATTATTCATAAACCAAGGAAAGAAATTTTTCATTGACTGATGAAGAAGTAGATTGACAAGACGAATTTATAAAGTATAAACTGAATTTCTTTAATAAGTCAGAGCTGAACTAAAGATTTATTAGGCTGTCCAGAAAGTCTTTTCGTTTCTTTTCCTACTTTCGATTTTAAAAAGATGAAAATTGAAAAAGAAATATTTTTTTATTTAACCCATTCGAAACTTCTGCAGTGAATAATCGCTGCAGCAAAAACTCAGGAACGGACCGCTGCAGCGCTAATTGAGCTATTTTCATTCAATTAATTGGTTTTTTTTTGCTGTTTTTCAGCATTGCATGTATATTCCAATTGTAGCAGATCTACAAATTACGTGGGCAAAGAAGATGTTTTATATTTACCCGGAATCAATGCAGTCTCTGGTTTTGCATTGAAATGTTCCATAATAGCTCTAATCTTATAAAGCCGATCTCCCGCAGGATTCAGTTCATTATCACAAAAACGCAGGTTTCGAAGAATAGATTCAAATTTTGCTCTTGACATAATGTGGGACATGTGGGAAAATCCTCCTAATCCAGGCCTGCTACTCCAGTAATCACGATACAGAGCCAGGAAGAGCTTGCATCGAAATCCTGCCAGTTTTTTTTCCTTTTTCCATGTTTATTAGATTCGCCTACTAACATGCTGATTAATTTGTCGTCGATAAAATAAGAATAATATAGGATTTTGAAAAGTACTGAAGTCAAATCCAAATCGTTCTTCATCAAAAATAAATGGTGTAGGAGACTCTCTTGCATCTTTCCAACCATAAATAAACTGCTTCGGAGTCAAAAATGTCAAAAAAGGGCTTGGTCCGTAGACGAAAAAAAAGAAAAAACGCTGCGGTTTCGAATGGGTTAAGGAAAATGATAGATTAATTGGTGAATTTCGGGACAACTTAATATTTAAGAAATTAAATTTGAAAAATAAGAAAGAAAATGAAAGAAACTTTCGTAAATTCTATAAACCCTTTCATCAACTACAGTCGAACTCCGATATAACGAGTCGCTCGGGATCAAAAACTTCGTTATAACGAACCTAAAACGTGCCCCAAATTTTCTGCATAGTTGCCCTGGACGGCTATTGATTGCATTTGGCTGGGGCAACTACGCAGAAATTTTAGGCAGGCACGTTTTAGAATTTCAAATTCGTTGCATCGAAGTTTGTTATATCGAAGTTTGATTCTATGCATTCTAAGCATTATAAGCATCTAAGCATTCCAATACGGTTCCAATACGGTTGCTATTTTGATCTAATACGGCTCCAATACGGTTCCAAGACGGTTCCTATTTTGATCTAATACTGGATCGTGTCCAAATCGTCGTATCGAAGTTTGTTATATCGAAGTTTGATTCTATATGCTATTGAACAAAATACCATGAAATAAATCAACTGTAATCATTGAAAAGCAAGAAAATTTTAATCATTGAAAATTCGGTTGAAAAATTCTAGGACAAATGAAAGCAAAGAGATTTAAGGGGGAAGGGGGAAGCTGAAGCAGGGTTTTCGGGAAGAAGGGACAATGGCTCGTTAAGGGGATCAACAAAGAGAAAGCGCCCATCCCAAACCACCAAAATTAGGCGAAGGCTTTGTTAGGAGATTTCGAGGGAATAGAAAAAAAAGATGGGGTTAGTAGAAAAGGATCTGTGTAAAAAAAGGGGGAGCAAACTGGTGAAGTGGATCTGTTGGAGATGTGTGGGACAGAAGGGGGAGGGGGGAAAGCGATGGGCGGGGTCTCTCCTCTTTCACCCCAAACCCATTTTCCCGTAGCAATACCACGAAAAAGCACATCATAAGCTGGGGGTATTTCATTTTCCTTCACTTTTCCATTCTTTGTGCTTTCACTTTTCACTTTAAAGTCACCTCTTCGGCGTCTTCACTTTTCACTCTTTAATGGAAAACTTTAAGCTCCACTATTTCCCATTATTCTCAAAAATTCTTTACTAGTTTTGAAATAAATAGCTATTGTAAATAGCTATTTTTTCTCATTGTCTACCATTTTTTATCATTGCTTCCCATTGTTTAGCCATTATTTTAAATTAATAACCATATTTATCATTGCTTAGGGGTTTTGGTTTGGTTTGGAAATGAGCCAAGAGTGAACCACGTCAACTCAATCCAATCTACACAACGATATGGCTTATCTACTTAAATATTACACATGTAGAGTGAAAATCTAGAAACTAATTACTTTAATAGTGAAAAGATTTGTGATTTTAGTCTCAGCAAAGATTCGAACACTCTCCGAGTTTCAAGTACGACTTCAAACAAATCAACAACCACCATCAAATGCCGAAATCATCACAACACTTCGCTACTTTCAACAAACACTTATTGGGTTTGTTTTTTGAATTCTTTTCATCAAAAAATATTTCCTTTTTTGATTCAAATCGGAGTCTGAGAGTCAACTCTCTTTTTTCCAGAGTCAACTCTCTTTTTTTCCACCTCGATTCACACCTCTTTGACGCAAGTATTAGAATTCTTTTTGGTTTTCTTTTTTTTGCTTTCTAGTAAACATCAATTGGAAATTGTATATGTTTCATAAAAAAGAAAGCCGAAAATCGGGTTTTAGCGAATTTAGGGAATTGGGGAGCCGTTTTGTGTTTTTGGGTTTTAGGAGCTTTTTGTTGGAGCTAGACAATGAGACACGCGATGCGATCTCTTCCTCTTTTTGGTCCTCTTCGACATACGCATTCTATTTTGTGGCTTGAAATGGGGGGTAGAAACCGAAATGAGAAAAAGAAAAGAGCTGAGTAGAGCAAGTGGTATCCAAATATCTATTCCTCAGCGTTTTCCAGAATTCTTCGCCATCTCAAAAACGACTCTTCCCTCGCTAATGAGCGGTGTTGACTTGATTTCTCATTTTCCTTTCCTGTCATTCCAATTGAAAGAATTTTCTCCTCAAGCATCTTCTCCTCAAACTCTAGCATCTTCTCAAAAAAAAACAGCGAGAGCTTATTAGTGTAAAATGAAGGAGTAAAGTCAAATGTGTTTTCTGGGAAGATGAAAGCAAAAGATTATTCTCTACCCAATTAGTTTCTTTGTGATTGGATTTCGCAAAAAAAGAAGACTATAAAAGAGAAGGAATGACGCGAAATTTGCATGGAATCTGACATCGGGCTTTCAATAATCGAATTTGTTGAAGAAATTCCAATCGAATGTCTTTTCTTTCAAAAGAAAAACCAAAAACTGACCGGAACATTTGAAAAAAGGAAGCAACAATGAAGCAACAATAATCTAAATTAAAATTCTAGATTTCTCAAGGATTTCCCATCGGGACAAGCGCACTTTTGTCAGAAATTCTCAATGGATCCAGCCAGATGGGCGTTGTATCCGAATTTGAACTACTCAGGTAGGGCTAAAAACTAAAATTGTACACAAACAAAGTATACAAAGTTTACTTCTTAGGACTCTTCTATGCGATTGTCAATTTGCTTGATGTATTCCCACTAATCACTTCAGGACAACAAGGTGATTTCTCTTTTACACAATGTTGTAAGGTTGAATCCTCATTCCATTCATCCCCAACATTTTGTTTTGCCATTCCCACGGCCTTTCTTTTACTCTTTTCTCATATCCCACTAATCACTTCAGGACAACAAGGCATTCAAATTGCAAAAGTTGACCGCTGAAAGCTTCAAATATCGTAAAAAAAATAGTCAATTATAAAGCCAAATAATTGAAGTATTCGGACTCTGAAAGGTTTTGGACTCTGAAAATTTGGAAAGCAAAAGGAAAGGACTCTGAAAATTTGGACTTTCTGGAGACTTGAGAAAAGATTTTCTGGATAATAAAGTTTTCAACAAAAAAAAGAAAGAGATTGTTGAAATGAATACTAGAGTGGATATGGATTTAAAAAGCGTTATTATAGCGGTCGGCGAAGCGATTCTTGACACGATGAAGGCGTTGATGTTATTCTTGGATCGCGATTCGATTGAACAACTCCCACTTGCACTTGCTTCACAAATCGGAGTTTTTCCGAGTGAACTTAATAAACAAGTGAGATCTGGATCGAAATTCTAAACCGTTTATCAAAACGATTGATAGATTTGCTGTTGATAGATTTGCTGTTGATAGATTTGCTGTTGATAGCTTTGCTGTTGATAGCTTTGCTGTTGATAGCTTTGCTATTGATAGCTTTGCTATTGATAGCTTTACTATTGATAGCCTTGCTATTGCCTTGCTAAGATAGAAAACGTTTAAAACAGCGCCGTTAAATTTCTCAATTCAAAACTCAAGCCAGTTCAAGTTTTATCCTAAAAAAATCTTACGTTCTCAGCTAATTGATGAATGAAAACGTTTTTTTAGAAAATTTAATCTTTAATATATAAAAATAGGGCTCAAAATGAATCCAAGATATTCAGTTATTCATTTTTTTTTCTAGATAGTCCATGTATTGGGTGATTGTCTCTTCCCATTCGCACTTTGTAATGAAACGAGCATTCGTCTTTCTGTGCCTGGATGTATCATGCTCGTCTTACAAAACACGAATGATCCAAGTAAAGAAAGAAAGAAATTGAAATCGTTTTACGCTAATCATTTAGGTTTACACACGTGGATTTTGGAAGCAATGATGTCATGCAGTGAAGAGGTTTATCGAGATGTGATTGCCGTTATTGCAAAGGTTTTGTCTTTCTGCAAAACGACTTTGAGATAAATTTGTTTAAAGGATTTTGTTATTTAAAGGATTTTGAATAACAAAATCCTTTGAATAACAAAGGATTTTAAACAAAAGAAATAATTCTACTAAATTCTTTAGGGGACTTCTGAATCCCGGGTTTCTGCTGCGAATCTCCTTTTTCATTATTGGCCTTTCTCAAATCCGCATGTGCTTCATCGAAAAACGATTCAATACCGTGTACAAGGTAAAGCAAAGGAAAAAAAGCAAATTTATTCTAATTTATTCTAATTTACTTTCAGCTTGGACCACATTAAACTGTCAAAATAGCAAATGTACAGAAAAGGGAGCTGCGTAAGTCTTTACAAATCTTGCAAAGGCTTACAAATCTTGCAAAGAAGCTCTACAAATCTCTCATCACTTTTTTTTTCAGACTCAAAAAATGCTTTGATCCGATTGTTTGTGCTAATGTTGGTGACACTTCTCCACCGGTATTTCTCTGTCGAAAGTTTGTTTATTTTCATTCTTCTCTATACATTTCCCCAAATAATTGCACTCTCTCACGTAATTCGATTCCGAAAAAGTCATTAAAAATGTGTGAAATTGAAGGAAAAAAGAAAAATTTGAGACTTTGCGAGATCGAGAAAGCTCTAGTAGAAATAAACTAGTAAAATTGAACAATGAGTTTTAAGAAAATGAAGAATGAAGAAGTTTCTAGAAAATGAAAGAAAATGGAAGAAAATCGTTTGAATGTAAGATTGTGATGTTAAACTAGAAGAAAGCTGTAAGATTGTGATGTTAAACTTTGCAAAATCATTTGCAAACTTTTCAGGTGTGCAGACACAGTGTTTAGCGAGAAACAAGTTCCTTTGGAGATCATGGTTCAACCATTGCCTACAAGCACACATGGAAGCTGTCAAAATAAGGTTTCAAAGGGGGAAAAAGGAACGACCAAAGCCCCCAATGGGGCCATAAAAAGGCCAATCGTAGAGATAATAAGAGATCTTTTGCTCCCATCTTTCTAGCGGAACAATTAATGACTTGTAGATGGGCAATCCTTAGGGGAAAACTTCCAACAATCGCACACTAAAGCTAATGTACTTTAACTTTGAATGACTAAGCAGAGAAACTACTATATCTGCAAGTGTGTAAGAGGTTTTTCTTAGCCAATAAAGCTATAAAGCTATACCAATAAAGTGGAGCTGAGCTGTGGAACTGAACTCGAAAATTGCTCCTTTTTCTCTCTTCAAATGTCATCAATTTTTGAAGCACGTTAAAGTAAAACAAAATAATATAGGAAATATAGGAAAATGTGAGGAATTCTTTTAGGGATGTGAGTCAACATTTCGTCTAGCGATTGGCACATGTTTCTCAGTGGAATGCTCGAAAAACAATGGATATGTGCCGATCAGAATGTGTCAGGTAAAGATTGAACAATTGTGATTGAACAGTTTATGAACTGAAATCTCTTGAATTCTTAAGATTCATTCAAGAGATTTTAAGGAATGCCTTGTGAATGAACATCAAGGAGAAAATGCATCTCATTTCCGACAAAAGGGATCTGGCGTGGTTTGGAGTGACGCCGAGCTATGCTGGGATATGGTTGAAGCAATTGTTCAACTTCTTCGTGAAACTGCTACTCATCTTGAGGGTAACAGGAATTAATAGGCTTTTCTAGGCATTGGAAAATTCCATCTAATTCTCTCTTTGTTTTCTCAGTCGTCTTTTAACTGATTGTTTTGAAATCTTGTCTACAAACAGAATGCCAATTTCTAGAAGGACTTTCTGGACAGTCTAACTCCTTAACTAATCCAAATCATCAAATAAAGCCAATCCTTTTTTACTTCTAAAGACTTTATCCACGCGTGGTTGCGTGAATTTTTACGTAAGTTCGATTTTTCGGCGAAGGATTGAGTGAGAGGCCGAAATCGACTCGAGAACTAATCAATCTCTGCTGGCTTGCGTTTCACGCATGTTTTCAAAGCTTTTAAACAGAATTGAGGCTAATGCTTGATCAGCTTATCAATCTTTTTTTGTTTTAGGATCAGAGGGTGAGGGAAAAAGACCGAAATGGTTACGACAACTCGAGGGTGGACATCAAATGGGCAAAGACATCGGTCATTTTTTTTCTTCTTTTTTTCTTTGCTTCTTTTAGAATTTCATTAACAAGATTGGATTTTAAATGGATTTTAAATGGATTTTAAATAATTTTAAATAATTTTAAATAATTTTAAATAGTTTTAAAATAGTTTTAAATAGATTTAAATAGTTTTAAATAGATTTTAAATAATTTTAAATAATTTTAAATAGTTTTTAAATAGTTTTAAATAGTTTTAAATAGTTTTAAATAGTTTTAAATAGTTTTAAATAGTTTTAAATAATTTTAAATAGTTTTAAATAATTTTAAATAATTTTAAATAATTTTAAATAATTTGAAATAGATTTTAAATAGATTTCTGATTGTATTAGTGATGTGTGAGGGTTTTCAGATCGAATGGCTGATGAGAGAAGAATGTTGTCGAGATTTGGAGTATGGCTAATGGCGGCACTCACTCCACCAACGATTGAAGCTAATCCGAAAGCCATCTCCTACATGATGAGCACCGTTTTTCAATGGTTTGCCACGACAGCCCTGCTTCCAAATGATACAATGGGACAATCGCTTGAGCAACTCAAAACTGATTTCGTCTGCGAGTGGATAAATCTCGCAATCAAAAATCATTACGGGGTTTTTATTCAAACACTCAGCCCAGCTCCATCAGATTCTGATGATCGACCAGCTTTAGAGCAAACAAAAGAAGCTCTAGGAAGATTACTTGCACTAATGCCTTATGATATCATTTCATTTGATACATGGAATCGCGTGATTCCAAAATGGCTTCAGTACATCTACGAAGAAGCACAAGAAGAACATTTGAGTGAACTGAAAGTGTTACTCGCGAAAATCTTTGAGCCAGACCTATGCCCACTACCGTTTGACACTGTAAAAGTGTTCGAATTCTTGACAAAGCAATTATTGTCAAAGAATTATGACATGATCTTTCACGGATTGCAATGGTTACATCAGCTTTCACAAATGGAAATCACAATCCCGCTGACGATGCTTTTAGAAGATTTCAGCGGTTGTCTTCTTCAGCTTAATGCTGTGGATTTGCCTCCAATTGGTGAGAATGATCTTGAATCTGATGAGGTCTCACTTCACGTTGTAATGGTCGACATTCTTGTCTTACAGGTCAATATCTATAAAGATCTACAATTGCATTACTCTATGCATTGCATTACTCTAGACATTTTTTCTTTTAGTTACGTCTAAATGAGATTTCGACTCATGATCTAGCGGATATATCAGAGAAACTTTTTAACACATTAGCTTTATTATTGAACTGTCCGATTCATGTGGGTCCTCATTGTTGCTCAAATCCGGAAATGGACGAGTTTCCCGATTGCAATGCCTGTCAACAAGCTGCTTTCCTGCATCAGGTTTACATATTCTAAAGCTCTTTACCACGTTTTCAGATGTTGATGTTGCTGGCTGAAGCGGTAAGCCCGAAGAAAGAAATGGCAATTCAAGCGACAGAGGTAAATAGGTTTAGTCAAAGGAATTTTTTTCTAATAACGGGGAGGATATCTTTTCTAATAGATAATAGATAATGCTACTTATTTCTAATAGATAATGCTACTTATTTCTAATAGATAATGGTACTTATTGTCATCAATTTTTCCTTCTCTTTCTTCTCCTATCCATTCTCCCATTATTCACTGGGTCATTCCCCATTATTAAAAAAAGGTCGATTTCAAGATCTAGTTCAAGATCTACTTCAAGATATAAAGCTTTTAGGATATGATATTGGATGTACCAGATGAGATTTCGATGACAACTTCTCAACCATCCACACTCCTTTCCCCACAAACACAACAAACCGGCACCCAAGCTCCTGGTAGACTTTTTATGCACCTATAAGCTATAGTAAAGCTATAGTAAAGCTATAGTAAGGGATTTAGGTAGTGGAGTGAACACAGGTGCACAAGTGAGCCCATTAGAAGGCCTTGAGGGTCTTCAATTTCATTCAGGAGCTGTCGTCGAGTTGAACGATGATGAATGTGTCGGGATTTTGCCTTCAGAAGAGGTAAAAATCGATTTTCGAGTAAGGCAAATAATGACATTTCAAAATGCATTACTTGAATCTCATTGTTTAAAATTGATTAGAAACAGAAGCAATCGAGAGAAGAAAGGAAAATCTCACGAAAGGAGGATAAGTCAAAAGTTTGTACTTTGTAGCGAAACGGGAAACGATTTCGATCTTGATTTCGATCTTCTGATTTCCCTTTAATCTGTCTCATTCGTTCACAAATCCCTTGCGCACAAAAGAATTCAAAAAGAATGTTTGATAAACTTTTCATTCATCCCCTCGTTTCCTGTTGTAAACTTTATATAGTTTTAAAATCTCGGAATGCATCAATTCCTGCATGATAGCTGTTCAGAAAGTTTTTTTTCTTTTCTTTTCGTATTTCCATTGAATTGATACATTTGTTGGTTATAAATAGAAGTACGAAAAGAAATGAAAAGACTTTACAATAGTTTTCTAGAGTCTAGAGTTTTTCTAGAGTCTAGAGTCTAGAGTTCTAGAGTCTAGAGTTCTAGAGTCTAGAGTTCTAGAGTCTAGAGTCTAGAGTTCTAGAGTCTAGAGTTCTAGAGTCTAGAGTCTAGAGTTCTAGAGTCTAGAGTTCTAGAGTCTAGAGTTCTAGAGTCTAGAGTCTAGAGTTCTAGAGTTCTAGAGTCTAGAGTTCTAGAGTCTAGAGTTGTCTAGACTTTTTCTAGAGTTGTCTAGAGTTTTTCTAGAGTTGTCTTTCCCATGCACTTCTATAGTAAATCAATTAAAGGAGCTTATCTTATTCAGAAAATGAGAAACGAATCAAAAGAAAGCTTGCTTAGAAAAGATTTAGAAATAAAATGATTCTCTTTCTCATTTTCAAAAGCTCCTAAATTATTTTTTCAAATCCATTCTTTAGGTCGAAATGGAAATGGCTGAAGCAGTGACACTAACAGAAAGCGATGTGGGCAGAGAGGGATGTCATGTCATCACAACCACACTCATCGAGGGCAAGGGTGGCACTCCAAGCTCGGTAAATTTTAGACAAATGTTAAGAACAAACATTCATATCAGTCATCTCAACTCCCACAAAGCACCCCACCAGCTTTCTGGGACACTTCCGTAGGCAGATTCCGTTTCACTCTCGATCAACTCCCCGCTCAACTCAAACTCGTCCATTCTTTACTTCAAGTGACATTCGATTTTTTGTTTTTAAACTACGTTACTTTGTTTTCTAGAATCTACTTCAAGAGAAAGATCCTGACGTTCAATGCTTTATGCTCAACTCGTTGAAATATCTTTGCTTACATTGTGAAGCACTGACAAATGCTAGAAGAGAGCATCGAGGGTAAAATCTAATCAAACGGAGATTTTTTTGATTTTTTGTTTTAGGTTTTTAATTTGGACTCTTGAGCATATGTTTGTTCCACAGATGTGGACACTTTTACGATCAGATTTTGTTCAAGTAAGTAAAGAAATAAATGTCAAATTAAGTATTGCAAATGTTCTCAGGTTGGAGAGTTGGCTTCACTCCTTCTAATTCATTGTGTAACTTTTCCCGCTGGAGAAGATATTTTATGGAAAGTTGTGACAAAGGATTTCACAAGTGAAAGATGGGAGACAAGATTTAATGCTGGTAATGTGAAAGTCAAAAACTCAAAACTTCTTTTAGTTGGTCGTGCCTATGTCTTGGCTCATATGATGAAACCAGCTCCAGTCAAAGGAAACAAGGTCAGCTTAAACGATTAACAAAAACAAACCACGAAAAAAACAAAAAACCACAAAAAAACCAAACGTAGATACTGTAATAGTACCCCACCCCCATAATGACGGTGTGGAGTGTTGCGTAGTCTAGCTTTGAACGAGTTTTTCTCAACACTGGTTTATGCTACAATGCTCGCTTAGGTATCAAAAAATAGCTGAAATTCAGGGCTATTTTTTGATACCAAAGACGCTTTTTTGGATACGAAAGATAGTGACGGTGTGGAGTGTTGCGTAGTCTAGCTTTGAATGAGTTTATCTCGACACTGGTTTATGCTACAATCCTCGCTTAGGTATCAAAAAACAGCTGAAATTCAGGGCTATTTTTTGATACCAAAGACGCATTTTTTGAAAGTACGGGTGCTTTGAAAAACACGGAAATACTAAAAAACTTTTGCGACGAATATGATATCAATAAAAGTTCTAGGTTGTACAAACGACTCTATCAGTGATCTTTTATCATATGGTTGTCTCCATTCATGATCCTAGTGCTCAAGTAGCACAACGAGCTCTTATCGCATTACGAGTACTTCCCAGCACAACTCTAAAAGTAAAATACTTTAATTTACTTTACTTTACTTTACTTTATTATAATTTACTATACTTTACTATACTTTACTTTACTTTACTTTACTATACTTTACTTTAGTGAAATACTTTTTCTAATTCTTTTTTTCTTTAACTAGACTTTAACTTTAACTAACTTCTTTCTTTTTCTTTAACTTCTTTAACTAATCTTTAACTTTAACTTCTTTAGCTTGTTTGCCTTTGTTTTGAAGCTCAATTCGATGCTTGTATCATCGATCGTCCTCTTCTTATCCACGCCATTCACACATTGACTACACAAGTTGGCTAAATCTTGTAATAAATTCAAATTTTCAATTAAGGTACCCGACGAAACAACGTTGACTTTTGATTTCTTTATTCAACGCTTTGAAACATTAGTTATTGAAAGTCAACTGAACTCGCAAAGTGAAGAAACAACTTTTGTACAAGGTCAGTTAATAGTAGAGTTAGTTAATAGTTAATAGTTAATAGTTAATAGTTCCTTGCGAGTAAGTAATTACGAGTAAGTAAGTAATTGCGAGTAATTACTCGAGTAAAATTTCCCTGAGTAATCTTTACTCGATTAATCGGCGTTTTTTGGTCGAGTAACTACGAGTAATCCTCTTTACACGTCGAGTAAATTGAATATCTTTACATTTGACGGGGATTTTCCACCAAATCAGTTGAACGGTTGAATATCTTTAAAAGGCGTCGTATATAAGACGGCACTCGTGCTTTTTGCGCCAATTTTTTTGCAAGAATTTCCACTAAAAGTACGGTAATTTTTCGTAAGCGTGCGTTTTAAAAAAAGGCATTAATCGTGAGGAAAACACTCTAGTTCTCTAAAAACTCTAGTTCTCTAGAGAAACTCTAGCTCTCTAGAGAAACTCTAGCTCTCTAGAGGAACTCTAGCTCTCTAGAGAAACTCTAGCTCTCTAGAGAAACTCTAGCTCTCTAGAGAAACTCTAGCTCTCTAGAGAAACTCTAGCTCTCTAGAAACTCTAGTTCTCTAGTAACTCTAGTTCTCTAGAAACTCTAGTTCTCTAGTAACTCTAGTTCTCTAGAAACTCTAGTTCTCTAGGCTGTCTCTAGAAAGTCTAAAAATCTTTTTCGTTTCTAATAATAAATAATAAATGATAGATTTCAGATCTTTCCCACTCTGATCCAATGTCCGAATTGTATCAGAGAAAAGTGGCAAAAGCAAGGAAAGCTCTTGAAGAAGCGAGTACTGCTCGTTCACTTGTGCGTCACCTTAAAAATTCCTCTCTTCGACACCAGTTACCCCCAAAAATCGCTGATGAACCAGGTCATTTTAGAAATAAAAAAAAATCAAATATCTTTTCTTCAAAGATTTTTTTCTCAATTTCAATCTCAATTTCAACTTTCAAAGATCATAGTTTCAGCCTCTAGAAGCCTCTAGAAGCCTCTAATGTTTACTGTTCTCTTTATTTCTTTACTCTTTAGATATTTCTTTTATTTTGGTGAACTCTTGCTTTCATTTCTACAATTATAAATATCATTTAGCTGAAGAAATGAATAAAATCTGTCGTTTTTGTAGCGATCCCTTAGCTTTCTTTTCATTATTTATGTCTAGCTGTCCACTTCAATGAAATTCTATGTGTTTGCGGTGATTTTTTAGAGAAAATTTGAAAGGATTCGAATACGAATTAAGATGGAAATAACAAAAAAAGAAAATCTATCAGAGATTCATCTGAAAAGTGTTCGCGGGAAAAGGAGAGGTCGTTTATCGGCGGCGGCTCTCTCATGTCGCATGAAGATTCTCAAAGTCGTGACCATGGTTCGAGTCGTCAATAGGTTCTTTTCGTCGACATGAAAATGAACTCAATTGTCAATAGGTGGCGCGACATGGCTGCACAGGTTTCACCTCTTTCCACTAAGATCTTGAGCTAAGAATATAGAGCTTTAATGTCATTCGTCAATCAGTAATAAAGCCCTCCCCTTTGCATAAAGCCCTCCCCTCGCTTGCCAGGTTTCGCGCAGGCGTAGCTCAGTGGTAGAGCGTTCGCCCAGTAAGCTAGAGGTGTCGGGTTCGAATCCCATCGCCGACGATATTTTGTAAAACTTATCGATTGCTCTTCGGTCATTCACAAGCTATCTACTGTGTAATTACTCCGATTTTATCTCGATAACTTATCCATTTAAAAGTAATGCAATAAGGAGTTTCAAAATGATTATATTAAACTGTTTTTGAAAACTCTTAGTCAAGATGATAGTGGAAAGTGATGTGTGAAACTTGAATCAAATCCCCAAATCTCTGTCCAGTTCACGGTATCGGCCGCATCACTCGTTTCACTCATCGCCAAGACGTCGCCCGTTGTCATCAGTACAGTTCCAAGTGCTGCAGCATGCATATGCACAAGAATTTGGCTGTAAAATGGAGAATGGAGCAAATTTGCATGCGCAATTTGAGAACGATCGATTTCGGGCGCTTTGCTAAGCATGTAAAGAAAAGAAAAGTTTGCGATTTTGTTTGCAATTTTGTTTGAAATCTGTTTGAAATCTGTTTGAAATCTGTTTGCAATTCTATTTGCAATTCTGTTTGCAATTCTGTTTGAAATCTGTTCGAAATCTGTTCGAAATCTGTTTGCAATTCTGTTTGCAATTCTGCTTGATATCTGTTCGATATCTGTTTGAAATTTGTCTGAAATCCTTTCTGTCCACTGATCTTTCTATTCTCGCCTCCTCTCCTATCCTTTTGCACTAACAAATGCAAAAACAAATTAAACAGACTTTCTTGTCCAAAGAAAAAAACAGAAAATTTTTTCAAGTTTCTCACAAAATTTACATTCTTTAGTACCTTTAAAGGTACATTAAACAATCCAAAATTTCTTGTTTTATATTTTTGGACAAGAAATTCGTATAAACAAGAGAATAATCGCAATTTTTTCAGCTGACACCTCCCTTCAAGCGAATTCTGTCGCCAGTCCAGCTGCGTATTCAAGTGGTAAGAGAATTCTCTCTAAAATATTTCACTTTTTTTTTCTTATCTATCTAAATAATAGATAATAAGGATTTTCTAAAAGATAAAAGATAAGATAGATAAGAAATAGATAAGAATAATATTTCTTTTCTTTTCTAAAAGATAGATAAGAATAATATTTCTTTTCTTTTCTAAAAGATAGATAAGAATAATATTTCTTTTCTTTTCTAAAAGATAGATAAGAATAATAGAAAAGAATAATATTAGGGTGGTGCAAAAGAAACTGCCGATTTGACGGTAAATTCAAAAAAAAAGATGGCGTTCGATGGTGACATGATCACAATGGAATATTTTCGCAAGATCTCAAGCAGATTGGCATGGATCGGCCTGAATAACGTCCCTCAGCCTGGCTTCGTTCACGACTTCTGGCATCGAACCGTGCTCATAATCTCGTAATTGTCGTATGCAATCCATTTCTCATCCGATGCCACGATAGAATCAAGAAATCCGCTATTCTTTGCACGATTCAGGAGAATGCCAGCGATGGAAATGCGGGATGCGAGGTTAGCATCACTGAGTTGATGAGGGACCCATCTTCCACAACGACTGTTCTTTCCAATAGCGTGAAGATGGCGTTCGATGGTGACATGATCACAATGGAATATTTTCCCAAGATCTCGAGCAGATTGGCATGGATCGGCCTGAATAACGTCCCTCAGCTTGGCTTCGTTCACGACTTCTGGCATCGAACCGTGCTCATAATCTTCCAAAGCCTCGTCTCCCTCTCGGAATCGTTGAAACCAAGTCTGACAGTGATGAGAGACAAATTGTCATCTCCGAAAGCAGCACAGAGAGAACGATGGGATGGGAACGATGGCAACAGACTTTCCAATTTTGAAGTTAAACAGTAATGCTGTTCCTAGCTCGACCATCGACAGTAATGCTGTTCCTAGCTCGACCATCGACAGTAGTGCTGTTCCTAGCTCGACCTCGATAGTAATGCTGTTCCTAGCTCGACCATCGATAGTAATGCTGTTCCTAGCTCGACCATCGATAGTAATGCTGTTCCTAGCTCGACCATGATCTAAATAAAAAATATAAGCATTTTAAAATAAAATAAACAACAACCAAAAAATCCAAAGGTCGAAATAAATCGCAAACAAAGATACGAACAAAACATTAAAAAAAATAATGCCGTTAGCATCGCTCGTTTCTGATAAATGAGAGCTGATACCCATCGGCATTTTCTTTTGCACCACTCTAATAGATAAAAAGAAAAGAAACAGCTTCAAAATAGCTCTATAGTTGAAATATTCGACGATGATTCAAACTCGGCCGAAGGTTTGTCTATTTTTCTTTTCTGGGACTGTAGACACCGTAGTCGGCTTAATTGAGCTAAATCTTTGCCGTTTTTTTTTTGTAGAATCATAAAATATTGTTGCTGAGTGTGTCCTTCTCCAGCGATTTTGTTGAAAGAATTCGAGTGAAAGCAAATCTTCCCATTGTGTCAAATGAAAAAAAAAAACACTTTTTTGTAGTCCTTTGTTAAAAAGAAAATTGTAGAAAAATTCTCCATTGAAATATTTTTTCATTTATTTTGATAAAGAATTTGTTTGAAGTCTAGCTGTGTCTGCAACTCGCAACTTCGAGAAAACCTCGAGATTGCGGGCGAATAAACGTGCACAACTTCTATGTTCTGTATATTTATGTAGTTGTTAAAGATGGGCTCATTTTCCGAATTCGTTTTTTTTTTTAGTTTTCTAAGATACGATAAAGCTTTAGGATTATTCAGTATGCTGAATAAAATATTTATTTTAAATATTACCGAAATACGGGAGTGGGACAAATGCGACCTTTTTTTTTGCGTACCCGGACATTTGCGCACCTTTTTTTCCGCACCTTGCCCATTAGCGCACCTTTTTTCGCGTTTTAAAAAGCTCTAAAAAGCTAATATTAACCAATTTCTATTCCAAATGTTGTTTTTCTAGGTAATTTGAGGGTGTCGAATTCTAATTTTGACATAACAGAGCGTGTGGATTGAAAGACAAAACGGCTAGATCAAATTACAGAAAATTGTCGATTTTTCTCTTTGTATAACTCCGTCCGTTTGTTTCCACAAGCTCTGATATGTCAAAATTTCGATTCTACGCCCTAAAATTACCTAGAAATACAACGCACCTTTCTTTCCGCACCTTGCCCATTAGCGCACCTTTTTTCGCGTTTTAAAAAAGCTCTAAAAAGCTAATATTAACCAATTTCTATTCCAAATGTTTTAAGCTTTAAAGGGACTATAAAGGAGCTTTAAAGGAGCTTTAAAGGAGCTTTAAAGGAGCATTAAAGGAACTATAAAGGAGCTTTAAAGGAGCTTTAAAGGGACTATAAAGGAGCTTTAAAGGAGCTCTAAAGGAGCTTTAAAGGGACTATAAAGGAGCTTTAAAGGAACTAAATAGGAACTATTTTCTTGTTTTTCTAGGTAATTTGAGGGTGTCGAATTCAAATTTTGACATAACAGAGCGTTTGACATAACCAATTTGAAAGACAAAACGGCTAGATCAAATTACAAACAATTGTCGATTTTTCTCTTTGTATAACTCCGTCCGTTTGTTTCCACAAGCTCTGATATGTCAAAATTTCGATTCTACGCCCTAAAATTACCTAGAACCTAGAAAAGCAACTTTTGGAATAGAAATTGATTAATATTAGCTTTTTAGAGCTTTTTTAAAACGCGAAAAAAAGGTGCGCAAATGTCCTGGTGCGCAAAAAAAGGTCGCATTTGTCCCACTTCCCAAAATACTGACTTTAAGACTTTATCAATCAAATTACAAAAGAATAACAATATTCGGAGACTGAAAACATCTTTAAGTTGTAAGGGATTTCAAATTTGAAACTATTAAAAAGCTTTACAGGTGGATTTGGACGTTTACGAGAGTTTACTGACGAAGAGTCGAATATGTGCTTGTTGTTGAATCGAGTCGTTGATATGGAAAACCCGGAAAGGCACACTGTTTACCTCATCATTTCACTCTTTGTCGCTTTCCTCTGCAACAAGAAGGTAGACTTTTGAAAGCTGTAAGCTGAGCTGTAAATCCGAGTTGTAAATCCGAGTATTGCTGAAAAATGAACTGAACATCTTTCAAACTCAAACTATTATTTAAAAAAAACACTTCAGCTTTCGAAATGATATAAAATAAATGATTGGATTAATCAATACTAAGAAAATCAAAAAGAAAAACAATACTGACAACTCTCAAATCTGATCCCACCATTCTCTCTGCTGATTTATTTTCACAAGATTAAATAATCCAATCAAATTCTATTTGATATTATTCTAAACTTTGGCATATTTTCTTTAAACCATATCAAAAGTTAACAAGAAAATCATTTCTAAACAAATTTATAGATCTTCAAAGTTGACTAGTCATTGAAAAGTCGCTTACAGTCGCTACAAGAGCTTACTCTAAAGTTAAAAGCCCGCTACAAGAGCTTACTCTAAAGTGAAAGCGGCTACAAGAGCTTACTCTAAAGTGAAAGCGGCTACAAGAGCTTATTCTAAAGTGAAAGCGGCTACAAGAGCTTATTTTAAAGTTAAAACCCACTACAAGGACTTACTCTAAAGTGAAAGCGGCTACAAGAGCTTATTCTAAAGTTAAAACCCGCTACAAGACCTTACTCTAAAGTTAAAACCCGCTACAAGAGCTTACCTTTCTAATAAACAAGAAACAAAGACTTTACAGTTATTTTAAAATGTTCATTGCTTGGCTTTAAATCTTCTCAGCACATATCTTTTCCTTCACAACTTTCACAAGAACTATAGCCTTTTTTTTAATCTTTCAACTAAATGACAAATCAGATTCTCTATAGAAAATTCTAAAGTTAACCGACGAAGCTGATGAAGAGGTGGGTTAAAAGAGAAAAATGAAAGAGAATTGATTATCGCACCCTGATCAAACAAATGAAATGGAATGAGAAGCAGCCGAACGAAACGCGAGATGATCAATGCACTTTTTTTGATCATTTTTCATCGTAACTCATTTTTATTTTTGTTTTTTTTTACGTTTCTCTAGAAAGCATGGAGTTGATGAAAATTGTAAGAAAGAAAAAGAAAATGATGAATGATTTGAATCATCTGAATCGTTGATCGTTGATCGAATTGTTCCCGTACTCTGACAATAAATTGAATGAGAGATCCGGCAATGAGTGCCTCTTCGTCGTTCTGCTTGTACACTTTTTGAGTCAAAAAAAACCTAACCTTCAAATGGTTTTACTCCTCAAAAAGTGTGAAATCGATATCATTTTTTTTGTTTCATAACAAGTTAACAAGTGTCATTTTGACATCAAAAAATTTGATGAAATCTTTTTTAAAATTTGAATTTAGGCCTCACCAACAGATGAGAAGCAAAACGCAAAAAAACAATCGTTACTCTTTCGACATTTCAACGCTTTACTTGGCTATTCAAATACGGAAAAATGCTTCACGATTCCACCAGCGAGAATACGGTATTTTTAAAAAATATATTATTGGGTTGGTGAATTGAAAACTGCCGGACTTTGAACTAGAATTGATTCAACATAAAACCATGAATTCATTCGAAATAATTTCCATTATTATTGACGACTTCTGCCCATTTTAAAGGCGATTTGTGGATTCCTCTTTCGTAGTAGGATTTTGGTTTTGAATCAAAAAGCTTTCAAAGCCAATTTTTGACTGCTTCTTCCGAATCGAAGTGTTCTCCCGCAAGCTCATTACTCATGACCCGGAATAAATAGTAATCAAAAGGGGCGAGGTCCGGACTGTATGGGGAATGCGCTAAAAGTTCCCAAACAAGGTTATTTATTTATAGAGCGAGTCAGTTTTGCAACATGAGGGCGCGCGTGCAACATTCCTCTTTCGTAGTAGGATTTTGGTTTGTGTGTGAGACACGTGTGAGACTCAAAAATGGAGGACTGCAGATGTCCCAGTTTGAGCACTTTCTTCAAAGGAAACCCATTTTGGTGTCAATAGGAAAGTTGCAGAGAATCAAAAATTAAGCTTATAGCCAAATTTTCAAAAAGATACACTTAGTAGTTTCGCTTAAAATGCAAGTTTTGTGAAAATTCGTAAATTTGGCATTTCTTGAAAACCAGTTTTTGAATCGTTCTGAAAATTTGGATATAAGCTTGATTTTTGATTCTCTACAACTTTTCCATTGACACCAAAATGGGTTTCTTTTGAAGAAAGTGCTCAAACTGTCACATATGACAATAGCCCGCAGTTTTCAATTCACCAATCCAATAATATTTGAATGAAAAAGCTTTCAGTCGATCAGCTGTTTGCAATGCTTTCTTGAGCGGTCTCCCGGAGATTCTCGACTCGAATCTAATCATTGGAAATCAAGTATAAACTTTTATTTATCTATTTACAATTATCTATTAAACTTCAGCTCCTTCCAACTGTTGTCCAACTCCTCATCCATCTCCCATCTCCCCAAAAATTAGCCAGTGATCGTCACAATTGCAACTATTCGCTGAAATTGCTTACCCAACATGCTAGGTGACTTTAAAAATCATATTTTAAATATAAAAAAATTTCTAGACATTTATGGTTAAACTCGTTGATCTTGATCCTTTACAAGTATCGTTTTGACACCGTTCCGGTCAGCGATGGAGTACTCAAATTAATCAACATCGTGCTGAAAACGTTGGAAGGACAAGTGTGAAATTCTACTGAAAAAATTTGTAGAACCTTTATAGGCTCACGTGTGCCCAGAGGAGCAGTGTTTGGAGGCGGATTCGTGCGCGGGTTGGGGCGATGTGTCGACGGATGATGACGACGGAGGAGTACGAGATGAAGAAGGGATGGGTACAGGCCCGTCTCGGCCATCAATCGTTCTACAGGCACGCAGGCCTGAGACACTCCGCGTTGCACGAATCGCGGTATGCATGCCCCCTTCTCAACTCGAGTTTTTTCCTCGTGATTAATGCGCTTCTTTACGGTAGTTATGTAAATTTTCAAAAACAAATTTCAACTTTTCATCATTTGCAGGTGTTTTTCTCAGTAGCGCGAAGGGATCCGCATCTTTTCTGACATTCTTGCTAAATATTTTTTTTTGGATTTAGATTTAAATTCAAGTAAATCCTCGGGATAAACTGTTTAATAAAATGACTTACCGTAAATACTGTAATAGTACCCCACCGCCCATAATAATGGCGCGGAGTGTTGTGTAGCTTTAGGTTTGAACGAGTTTATCTCGACACTGGTTTGTGCTACAATGCGCGCTTAGGTATCAAAAAAATAGCCTGAAATTCAGGGCTATTTTTTGATACCAAAGCGCACATTGTAGCATAAAGCAATGTCGAGAAACTAATGTTTGAAAAAGGTATCAAAAAATAGCCCTGAATTTCAGCTATTTTTTTGATACCTAAGCGCGCATTGTAGCATAAACCAGTGTCGAGATAAACTCGTTCAAAGCTAAAGCTACACAACACTCCGCGCCATTATTATGGGCGCTGGGGTACTATTACAGTATTTACGGTAGATAAATCTTATTTATAATAAAATAATCGTAGTTTAAATCGCAGCTTTTTTTTAGACCAAAAGTTAATCGAAAATGAAAGTTATTCAATTGAAAAGAAAAAGTAATATATATAATATACTTTATCCGACAAGGAAAAGTGACAATGCAAACAGATTGAACAGCGTAGACGAAGAAAGATAATTGATATACAAACACAACTACAATTAGACACGTGTATATATGACATTAAAAACTAATTTAAAATTGACAGAGCTACAAGAGTAAAAGAAAGAAGCATAGAGGAAACGAACTAATACCGTAAATCCTCTAATAGAAAACCGCCGCCATAATGACGGGCGTACAGTCGCGTAGTCTAACCTTGAACGTCCCGTTCTCCGCTTGCTAGTCTAACTTTGAACATCCCGTTCTCCGCTTGCTAGTCTAACTTTGAACGTCCCGTTCTCCGCGCTGCTTTAAGTTACATTGTGCGCTTAGGTGTCAAATGATAGCCCTTGAAATCTAGTATTTTTTAGGTACCAAAAGTGTAGTTAGGAAAAAACTAGGGGCTGAGAAAAAGTGATTTTCTAAAAAGAAGTTGGACTACACGACTGAGGAGGTGGCGTTTGATTAGGGTATTTACGGTAGTAAGAAGCGTTGAGAAAAACCAGTGAAAAAACGTTAACTCTCTTTATATAGTGCGATTCGCATTATATAGTCCCCCTTTTATAGTGATATTCAGATATTCAGTGTTAAAAGATATTCAGCTCGATTAAAAGATATTCAAGATAAAAGGTATTCAAGATGTCCAGAAAGATATTCTTTAAAGGATAAAAGCTATGAAAAGACATCAATTTGCATATGCAACTTTTTAATTGACGCATTAATTGAGACAAATCTTGATTGATTAAAGAAAAGAAAAAAATCTTTATGCAAATTTATTATTATTTAATCATGAGGAACGCACTCTACTCTCAACTATCATTTCAAAAAAAGCATTCACTTATGAAAAGAGCTTTCACCTATTGCAATGCGCTTCTAAGGTAATCACTTCATTTCTTTTGTCAACCTACCGTAAATACTGTAATAGTACCCCACCCCCATAATGACGGTGCGGAGTGTTGCGTAGCTCTAGCTTTGAACGAGTTTTTCTCGACACTGGTTTATGCTACAATCCTCGTTTAGGTATCAAAAAATAGCTGAAATTCAGGGCTATTTTTTGATACCAAAGACGTTTTTTTGATGCCAAAGATAATGACGGTGCGGAGCATTGCGTAGTCTAGCTTTGAACGAGTTTTTCTCGACACTGGTTTATGCTACAATCCTCGTTTAGGTATCAAAAAATAGCTGAAATTCAGGGCTAATTTTTGATACCAAAGACGCATTTTTTGAAAGTACGGGCGCTTTGAAAAAAATGAAATACTAAAAAACTTTTGCGGCTACGCGACTGTACGTGGGGAGTGGGGTACTATTACAGTATTTACGGTAGGGAAAGGTATCAGGCCAAGTTTCGCTTGGGATTCTTAGTTCGGTTTGGATTGCGAGATGTTTAAAACAAATTTCTGTAGAGATTTGGTAAGATGACCTGTTACCTTTCTCAATAAATGAATGATCTTCTCTCGCTATTGGTTCTTCTTTCCTTATTCAACTGATATGTCTCCTCGAAACTTGATGATACTGACCGCTTCAAACTTCTAAACAAGAAAAAAAAACTACTTGTATAAACTAAAGGAGAATATTTCTAGGAACAAGTGGAACCGATCATGGAAATGGAAACGGCTACTGTTGTTGAGCCGACTGTTGTCGTTATGGAGCCAGGAGGAGCCGCTCAGGTGCGCAACTGAAAAATTCTTTTCCTACAATGCGTCTCATATTTCGAGACACCCCCCAAATTTTCTCTGTTTGAAGCGTTTTCACAGTTTGTTGGCAATTGAAATGTTGTTTTTCGAGATCAGCGTATTCGAAAATCTAAATTTATATTGTTTATTCTAAATCACAGAAATAGAGATTAAAAAGAGATTAAAAAGAGATTAAAAAGCGATTAAAAAGAGATTAAAAAGAGATTAAGTAGAGATTAAATAGAGATTAAGTAGAGATTAAATAGAGATTAAGTAGAGATTAAATAGAGATTAAGTAGAGATTAAATAGAGATTAAGTAGAGATTAAATAGAGATTAAATAGAGATTAAGTAGAGATTAAAAAGAGATTAAGTAGAGATTAAATAGAGATTAAGTAGAGATTAAATAGAGATTAAGTAGAGATTAAATAGAGATTAAGTAGAGATTAAATAGAGATTAAGTAGAGATTAAATAGAGATTAAATAGAGATTAAATAGAGATTAAGTAGAGATTAAATAGAGATTAAGTAGAGATTAAATAGAGATTAAATAGAGATTAAATAGAGATTAAGTAGAGATTAAATAGAGATTAAGTAGAGATTAAATAGAGATTAAATAGAGATTAAATAGAGATTAAGTAGAGATTAAATAGAGATTAAGTAGAGATTAAATAGAGATTAAAAAGAGAACAGTAAATATACATACAAAATACAAAGTAAACTAAAAAAAAAACATAAAACGAGAAAATCGAAAAAAACTATCGAAAGTGTCTCGAAATTTGGAACATCTAAATTTCTTAATTCGTTACTTTAAAAAGCTATTTCTGTGATTTTTTTCAAATAAACAATATCAATTTAGATTTTCGAATACGCTGAACTCAAAAAACAACATTTCAATTGCGAAAAAAACTGTGAAAACGCTTTAAATAGAGAAAATTTGGAGGGAGTGTCTCGAAATATGAGACGCACTTTATTTCATTGCTATTTAATATTGATATTTAATTGTCCAGCAACCATTTAATTGTCCAACAAGCGTTTAATTGTCCAACACGTTCACCATTTGCTAAATTGATATATTTTTAATTTAAAAAAGGCTGAACAACATAAAGCTTTCGATATATAAATGCATGTCATTACAGGCATCGCTTGTGCAATCGTGGGCCATACAGCCAACAATTGTCGAACCAACATCATCGTTCAATCGATCGTCCGTCGAGCGCCGAAAAAAGGTAGCCGCACTCGCAAGTTCGCCTTTACATTTGGCGAATTCAAAACTGAAGAGCGCCTCGTTTCGAGTGGAACTCCTTCGAGTCCCGACTTTCGTGAGTCGAAGAGTGATTCAAGAATTCATTTCTTTTTTGATTTCTGCAACCCCCAATGTTAAAAATGTTAACCACACTTTTTCGTCACCGATGATGCGAGGAAAAATGATTATTTGCTGAATGGCTGAACTCATCCTTGGTTTTCCTCGCTTTTAGAGCAAAAGCAAAAGAGCAAAAACTAATCTTTATCAATGATTCACATAGATTAATAGATTAATAGATTGATTGATAACAGATTGATTCTTTGAATTAATAGATTGATTCTTTGAATGGCATGGAGAGAAGAAGAAAACTCGTCAACTTCATAGAAAAGAATTTTTAGAAGCAATTGAAGAAAGAACAAGCAAACGAGAAGCAAAAGAAGATGCAACAAAGCGTTGAAATGCGATGCGGTTTCTGCAATTCGGTAGCTGAAAGTTTTGACGAGGAGACACTCTCATTGTCACTTGTCTCACTATCAGCTTTCCTTCATCGAGAACCTGCAATGGCGGCTCCGATTCTCTTTCGAGTTCTTCACACAGTTACAAGGTAATCAAATAAGCTTCTAGTTTTGTTCTATTGTTCTATTATATTTTATCTTTAGATTAATCGATAAACCACTCTATCCTTGGCATTCGACTGATGTCTTTGTACCAGGAAATTGTCGATCTGTAGCCAAACAAATGATTCGAGTGGTTGTACATCAAGTAGGTGATAAGAGATTGATTAAAGTATAGGTTACATTTGATTACAGTAGCTCCAAAAGAGCTACGGTAGCTACCGTAGTTCTTTTGGACACAATAATATTATATTAGACTAATGAATTGATTCGATTGATTGATTGATTCGATAGATTTCAGTCTTTTTGTTCATTTTCGTCCTTGTTAAGAATAGTTGACGAATGCTGACATTTTGAATTTTGAAATCTATCGAATCAATACACTGATAGTCAGAGAATTGTCAACAAAACTTTCAGCTCTCATCTTCTGGAATCGCTTTTCAACTCTTCGACTCTCCTCTATCAAAAGATGACTCTTTTTGGTCTACAATCGCTCTTTCACTTGCTGATTTCACTGAGCTCAGCCCTGTCTATTTTATCCAACTCTTACTTGAGGTACAACTTTATAATTCTCTCTTCAAACGAACTTAATTTTAGGACATCCAAGAAAGCTGGCCTACTCGTTTGTCAGCTGTCATTCGAAATCTAGCTAACTACATTGTGGAGGTATTAAACTCTTGAAAACATTCGAATAAAAGCTCAGATTCCCACCGACTCCTACATTGTTCAATGGAGCACTTTGGCTACTCACTTGGACAACTTTTTTCGGAAATATCATACAGTGGTTTGGAAATGAATAAATGAAAAGATTAAAGATAAAGCATATAGATTTCCGCGGAAGGGTCTAAAAAGCCACAGAAGAATGAGCTTGAGAGTGCAATTGTTGTGATCACTCACGTAATGAAAGTGCAAAATTTCTCTTCGTTCAAGGTGGGAATGGAAGGAATTGATGAAAGGAATTGATGAAGGGAATTGATGGAAGGAATTGATGAAAGGAGTTGATGAAGGGAATTGATGAAGGGAATTGATGAAAGGAATTGATGAAAGGAATTGATGAAAGGAATTGATGAAAGGAGTTGATGAAGGGAATCGATGAAAGGAGTTGATGTAAGCAAAGATTTAGAGTGCGGTATCGCTTGTGGATGGTTTCGCGAAATGGTTGTCTGAGAGTATGCACTCGACTCCACTTTCACTACCATCACTACTCACCGTTTGCACGGCTTGCAATCGAGCTTTGATTAGGGTTAGAAAATTACAGAATTTTTGAAAATTTATAGAGATTTTTGAGCTCAAAAGACAATAATTTTTTTGAATAAAAGTAATCAAAAGTTGTTAACATTTGGCGTATTAATAAGTGGATATCATTTTTAGCATTAGACTTTTACAAGAGCTCTAAATCTAGCAATCTACTAGTTCTTCTAAATATTGAAACTTTGAACTTTGAGCTTTGAAATTTGAGCTTTGAGCTTTGAGCTTTGAACTAGACTTCGGAAAACAAAACTTAACCAAAACCAAAACCACCAAAACCAAAACAGACCAAAACCAAAACCAAAACTAACCAAAACTCGCCAATATCTCGTGATTGGGAGAAGCTAGCGAAAATCTGTTTGCAGATTTGAAATCAGCGTCCAAAAATCTATAAATAGCCTATGGGTTATTTTTTGTTTCGAAATTTCGAGGTCGTGTTTTGGTCCTTTTTTCGGCCGCGAGATTTTGGGGAGTGAGAAAAAGTGAAAGGCAAATTTGCATTTTACAATTTTAAATTTACATGTTAATTTATTGAGCTTTGGTTTGTTTTGGTGTTTTGGTTTTGGTTTTGGTTTTGGTCTGTTTTGGTTTTGGTTTTGTTTGCCGAACTCTACTTTGAACTTTAAACTTTAAACTTTGAACTTTGAACTTTGAACTTTGAAGTTCGAAAATTCAGGAACGCGACAAGCAGTGTATTACACGAGCGGTTGTTTCCGAACTCATCCATGCGATCAAGTTCAAATGCCCGATGAACGAAGCAAACTATATGACGATTGCTAATATGATCTTGCAGGTAAAACACTCGAATGATTCTCTATTCGAATGCTATTTGATTTTTGTTTTAGGATGCTGGAGAATCAATCCCAGTACCACTAAACGATGATCAATTCAATACAGCAGCTGCAGAAGCCGTTCGACCATTCCTCTTTGAAATCATTGATTTCATTTCTGATTTGCATGTTCTTGCAAAAATCAAAGTCAGTTTTTCTATTGATATTTGAGTTAGTTAGCATTAAATCAAAAATTTAGAAAGAAATCCAATCTGACAGCGTTGGTGGTGACTTAAAAGTGGCATTGGCTGAGGTGATCGCTGTGGAGATGAGTCGGTGTGTTTGAGGCCAGAAAGCTTTGACAAAAAAATTTTCAGCTCAAATAGTCGTGATTGTCGAACGGTGATTCGTTTCATTCCATGGTTGATGAGTCCTCCATCGGTTACTCAAGGTTCAAATATTTTTCATGTAAAAGCTGTTTAAAATTTGAAAGAGGTGGTTTAGTGCATTTAAATTTGATAAACGACAGAGTGATCTATAGTGATTAATGCTACCCTCAAACTTGGGTAATTAAACCGAAGCGGTTAACTTTTTAAAACAAAGCATTTGGAGTACAAAGCAACAAAGCACTAAGCCAAACCCTCTTCAAATTCTCGCATAGTTTTGCTTAAATTTCGGTTAATATCTCAAAGACATCAAGGTTACGATAGCTTACAGATTACGATAGATTACAGATTACAATAGGTTACAGATTACGATAGGTTACGATAGCTTACAGATTACGATAGCTTACAGGTTACGATAGGCTACGATAGCTTACAGATTACGATAGGTTACGATAGCTTACAGATTACGATAGCTTACAGATTACGATAGCTTACAGGTTACGATAGCTTACAGATTACGATAGGCTACGATAGCTTACAGATTACGATAGCTTACAGGTTACGATAATTTACAGATCACGATACTTTTACAAGTAGATCTTTTAGATAACATTAAGAACAAGATAACACTAACAATAACACTAACAATAACAACATTTTTTGGATAACAACACCTTTAGATAACAAAAAATTAACTTTAGCGGCACCAGGTGCTTTCGCCGACTCAGTCTCAAACGTTCGCGTTCTTTCGTGGCTTCTGTTGGGTGCACTTCATGCTGGCCAGCATTGTCTACCTGTTCCAATCGAATGCTCTCAACATATGGCTGATTATATTCATTTTGTTCTAGCTGGTTTTGCTGATCAGTCAAAGGTATGTCTTCTTTCAAAATTCAATCTTATAATTTGTTCAATTATCAAGCGATTAAGCTGTTCAGATAGTTTTTGTTTTTGTTTCTTTTCGTACTTCTATTTAAAACAAACAAATTCACCAAATGAATGACGGTTTATTTCATTGGAAAAGCCATTAAAATAAATGATGAAATGAAATAATTAAAATAAATAAATTAGCTCTGTCTAAATATTGGGTTGATGCATAATTATCCGGACTTCTTTTATAAATGATTTTATTTAACAAAAAATAACATAAATAGTTAGAAAAATATGTTTAATTGATTATTCTGGAGCATATTCACCGCCTACATCAATAACTGATTGCCATTTGCTTGGAAGACGATCGATTCCACGAGCGAAGAATAAACGATCTTTGGAGGCAATCCACGCTTTAACATCGTCTATCAAGTCATCCAAATCGTTGTAGATCTTATTTGTTTGCCAATTTTTGAGCGATCGATTGACGTGGTAGTCCGTTGGGGCTTCTCCAGTTCTTTGAGATCGCGAAACGACTCTGCGGCAGACCATCCCTTTTCGAAGTGGTAGAGCATGATATGGCGAAGATGGATATGATTGTCGACACGCATTTTGTTCACTAAAGAATAACGAATATTTAAAAAAAAGAAATAGACAAAAAGCTTTCAAAACAAAAAAGATACAAGCACGCAAAAAGAAGTCCGGATAATTATGCATCAACCCAATAGAATTATTTTTCTACAAAATAGTATTAAAACGGATTTAAATGGCTTTAAACATTAAAAATTTAAACAGCTAAGAGATTTTTATAGATTTTTTTCAAAAAACACATTTGTCACTCTCAAATTTGCTTTTAAATAAACCAAAATTGACTTAAAAAGATCGGAAATTGAACAAAAAACATTTTTATTTAAAGAAAACGATAAATGAATTGATAAATTTACGATAGCTTACAGATTACGATACTTTTACAAGTACATCTTTTAGATAACAATAACAATCTATTGGGTTGGGGAGAATGAGTCGGCGCCGAAAATCAAAAAATGTCTAAAACTTCTATTCGACTTCGTCAAATAATATGCGTTTGATATCAATAGAATGGTTAACTAATTCTCTACAAAATGACATTTAAAAGAAAATTCAAACAGCGCCTCCGCTCAAGAAAAAGCGATTTTTTCACAAAAACTACAAACTGTGATCTAGAAAAAACCATTGGTGGGATCTTCCTGCAAATTTGGCAACTTAAGTAATTGAATGTGCTCTATCTTTTTTATATAAACACCAAAGAAGGTTTATGTGAAAGAAACTGTTCAAATGATGAGTCGGGCTCTTTGCCATTTTAACCAGCTGCGTTTGGAAGTTCATAAACTCCACGAAAGAAAAGCTTTGTGGAATCTCTCAAAAGTGATTTTGTAGAGAAATAGTGGATCCTTTTGATGAAACCAAACGTATGTTTAAAGAAGGCTTTATGTGTGCAAAAAGTCCCTTTAAAGTTTGGCGCCGACTCATTCTCCCCAACCCAATAGAATGAATACCCTAATCTAGACTGAATATCCTAATCTAGACCGAATACCGTAATCCAGCTAAAGTAGACTGAATACCTTATTCGAAGCTTTGGTTTTCTAATTTTTGGTAATCTAATCCAGCGAATCTTAACAGAATAACTTAATCTAGACTGAATACCCTAATTTTTCTAATTTTTGGTATTTTTCAATGGAAAAACGAAAAAAGAACGAAAAAAAACTCTCTGGATCTAATTTGAATTCTTCGCTAAACTTTTTCTCTTGCTTCTCCTTTAAATTAACTAAAAAAATAGCTTTCTTTCAAATATTTTGCATGTCGATTTTGCTCTGTCGCATCTCTTTGAAGAGATTTTTCTTTCAATTTTTCAAAAAATCTAGTGGCTGAATGAATGGGCTTAAAAGGAGTTTTGAAAACTCCGCGAAGACTCCTCTCTCTCTCTCTCTTTTTCGACTTTTTATATAGAAAACAAATGAAACGAACAAATGAAAACCTCTCTGCAGAAATCGCATTTGCCAACACTCACCGGTGCATCGACACAAATATTTGAAGTTCAAGTAAGGAGATGATCTCTCAAATGAAGAAAAGAGGGATTGCTGTAGCTCGTGTCACCCCCAAACAAATAGCTTTTTTACAAATAGCTTTTTAAAACCCACTAACCCATAGAAAATCATAGAAAAGCACTAAAAAAAGGAAAATTTCCTATAAATTCTAATATTCTGTCTGATTACAGTAAGCCAGATTGTAATAAAACAAAGTAATAGTACACAAAAAGTACTAACAAAGTAATAGTAGACATTCAGCTAGGCTGAACACTTTTCTCCTGGCATATTGTAGTGAGACAAGAGAGCCTATTGTACTTTAAATTGCACTTGTGTTTTGTGAAGTGAGAATTAAAACCTTAATCTAGCTTCTTTCATACAGTATCAACTAAAGATTATTTTATTTTTGTTTTTTGGAACTCCGAAGAACGCTCGGGCTCACCTCTACTCATTTTTCACCTCTGATTACTTCGACTGAACAACTTTCTTGTTTTGTTTGTGTTGTTTGTCAATGTGGTAATAGTTGATTTTTTTTTTCTCTTTAAAGTCTTTTTTTTTCTCTTCTAACAAATTTCTGTGGAGTTTTATGGTAAAAACGAGATTAGATTTACTAATTCAAAATGGTGATCCTCATTTAAACCCTTAGCTTTTCTAACCCGGTATTTAAAAAGCTTTCTCAAATGCTGCATCAGTTTTTTTTTTGTCTTAAAAGTTTTGTTAAATAATGTAAAAAGACTGATGTAGTAGTAAAAGGAAACAAAAAAAAAAAACGCAAATTTCAGCAATCAGTGGTCCATATGTCGGCTTTATTCCACGCGTTTCACTTGTGCCAATTGTGGACAGTTTACTGCGAGAAAGCGGCGACTTATTCATCGCAAACAGCTTTCAAGTTTGAAAAATTAGCAATAACTCTATAATTTATTAAGTTAATAGAAAAATTAGCAATAACTTCTAAAGAATCTAAAGAAAACTTCAGTGCTCAATCTGCTTTTATCATTTTGATCTGTTTCGGATTTAAAACCTTGATTTGAAACCATAAAACTCATAACCAGAAGACTTTTTATCTAAAATTTTTGAATGAATCAGCTAAAATAACTATTCAGTTACAACTACGGGAGTGGGACAAATGCGACCTTTTTTTGCGCACCCGGACATTTGCGCACCTTTTTTTCCGCACCTTGCCCATTAGCGCACCTTTTTTCGCGGTTTAAAAAAGCTCTAAAAAGCTAATATTAACCAATTTCGATTCCAAAAGTTGTTTTTCTAGGTAATTTTAGGGCGTAGAATCGAAATTTTGACATATCAGAGCTTGTGGAAACAAACGGACGGAGTTATACAAAGAGAAAAATCGACAATTTTCTGTAATTTGATCTAGCCGTTTTGTCTTTCAAATTGGTTATGTCAAACGCTCTGTTATGTCAAAATTTGAATTCGACACCCTCAAATTACCTAGAAAAACAAGAAAATAGTTCCTATTTAGTTCCTTTAAAGCTCCTTTAAAGCTCCTTTATAGTTCCTTTAATGCTCCTTTAAAGCTCCTTTAAAGCTCCTTTAAAGCTCCTTTATAGTTCCTTTAATGCTCCTTTAAAGCTCCTTTAAAGCTCCTTTAAAGTTCCTTTAAAGCTCCTTTATAGTTCCTTTAAAGCTTAAAACATTTGGAATAGAAATTGGTTAATATTAGCTTTTTAGAGCTTTTTTAAAACGCGAAAAAAGGTGCGCTAATGGGCAAGGTGCGGAAAGAAAGGTGCGTTGTTTTTCTAGGTAATTTTAGGGTGTAGAATCGAAATTTTGACATATCAGAGCTTGTGGAAACAAACGGACGGAGTTATACAAAGAGAAAAATCGACAATTTTCTGTAATTTGATCTAGCCGTTTTGTCTTTCAATCCACACGCTCTGTTATGTCAAAATTAGAATTCGACACCCTCAAATTACCTAGAAAAACAACATTTGGAATAGAAATTGGTTAATATTAGCTTTTAGCTTTTTTAAAACGCGAAAAAAGGGGGCGCTAATGGGCAAGGTGCGCAAATGTCCGGGTGCGCAAAAAAAAGGTCGCATTTGTCCCACTCCCACAACTACAGCTTAGAAATACTGACAAAAGTGATTTCCAAAAGAAAATACTAAACATTTTTAGTCATCTACTTGATTTCTGGGCGCGTGTCACTCCAGCAATTCTGCAACTATTGAGTCACTCGAAAGTCGTACGTTCTCATCTTTTTTATAAAATCTTTATCAAAAATCTTTTCAGCTAGCTGATATGGTGAATCTTCACTTTTTGAATACCATTCAAGCTCTGCAACAAGGTTTGTTTAATATAAAACATTTAAAGATCGATTTCAGTGAACTCAGCTCTACTCTGTCAACTCTTTGCCATGTGGGCTCCGATCTTAACCGCCTATCATTCGCAAATCCCCAGTCAATTGAGGATGAAGGTTTTGAAAAGTTTAAACTAAATGAATCGACTTTTATTCAGCATACAATACTCTTTTCAGTTGGATTCCTGCGAAAACCAGCCTGCATTGAGTCCTCCAAAGTTGGCTGAGTGGCTGAAGAAAGTTCGCTACAAGATTGCTCAAGTCGAGCTGCAAACCTCAGCCGCTTCTCCATATTACACTGTATAGAAGTTTGTGATCTCTTCTCCGGTGAATTTTTCAAATAAAGTTTCATATCTTTAAGTCATACACAAAATCTGGATCAGAACGAGCAATATTACAGATTTGCGAGTTTTTTCCGAGAAAATCCTGGGTTGGCGCTTTAAAGTGTGGTAAAACTACCGTACCCCTCTTAATTTGCGTGAAATTTCTTTTTTCATTTTTCTTTATTTCATTTTATTCTTTTTGCATTTTTCTTTTTTGATCGCGTTTGTTTTTGGGGGGTGGGACAAATGCGACCTTT